ATTTAACAAGGATTTGATCATGCTGTAAAGTGTAACAACATCAATGACCAGGCCATTAGCGCCCTCTCCAGGTATTTGTTTTAATACGTAATGTACACAAGTTGATTATGTTTATATTATATATTTTACATTGTGCATTTTAACAGCGTTGTTCAATAAAACAAAACCAGGCCTTGCTTTTGATACTTTATTTAAACCAATTATTATTGCCTCATTGTTATTATACCCATGTATTTTAAGTCATTAAGGGTTATTGTTCACGTAGGTCTATTTTAATTACCACAAAAAAATTATCTGACTAAATCAATTGTCAAAATAATCAACCTATTACCAAAATAATCATTAGTGACAGCCCTTATTTCAAGGATACTAAATAACAGGCAATGTCCACTCAACACACAATTTAAATCCCTATTTTTGCTCTTGACAGTTACCATATATGCCTACTTTTTAAATGTCTGCTTTCTAATTTGTCCCTTGAAACTTCAAACGCTGTAATTGCAATGCAGTTGCACAAGATCCCCATTAGGTGTAATCCTGTACACATTGATAAAGTAATGCCCTGAGCTTCACATCAAGATAGTACACAGGGTGAAGCAACACACTCTTTAAAAAACACTGAGATAACTGTGTGCACTCCCGAGGCCTCCTTCATCAGAACAAAATTCATCCCACACCTCTTTTAAATGATAAACGTGGACCCATAAACCAGCACATAAGGTCAAAACCAGGAGTCAAATAAGTTTAAAGACTAGGGTGAACCAACACAGACAGAACAGCTTCATGAAACACTTGCTTGGCAGAAACTATGACAAATGAGACGTACACCTACGTGGACAGCTTATGTGACATCCTCAAAACAAAACCATGCAAGGTAAAAGAAAATGTGAATCTGACTTTACTAAATATGGGTTATATTCGGTTATCCAAGGAAAAATCTGTGTCTTGAAGCAAAACCTTTAGAGAATCTCTGATCTAGGCTTCACACAACACCTGCTTATGGAAAAACACATTCAACTCCCACACTTGTGGAAGAGAGATAAAATCCCACTATGAGTGCTACAGAAATCCCCGATCAAACCAAAACTCCCCTCCACATCCATCACAGCATGACCCTTATTAGTCTCTCACTTAAGCCTAACAACCTGATACTAAAGTGCAATAGTCCGATTGCAGAAGTAAAAATCACATTTATTTTCTAAATAGTGGAATTGATTTTTAACAGTAACTTGTAATCTGTTGAGCACAGACCCACTGTGAGCTATCAGGTTGTTTTGAAGCCCGCATTCAGCATGCATTTCCTCAACTTATTATTTTTTTAAACAAGCATGTGTAACTAACAGACAGAATCTATTATCAATGATCCTGCAAATATTCTCCAGCAATCAAAACAAGCAAATCCCACCAAAATAACTCTTTGGCTCAATACTTTTCCGCTTCAAATCAACGTTTGTAACTTAATGTTATGATTCAGCTTGAAGCTGGTTGTTTTCGTTCATGGCTTATAACTCTTAATTACTTTTTTTAAAAGGACCACGGGTGGATATAAAAGAGCACTGTTGCACCGACATATTGGCTGTGTCCTATAAGCTATTGAGCTGCCTAGCTCGACGTAACGCATATGATACCCAAAGTTGAGACAGCCATTGTCCTCATAGATTACATGCACTTTACAGCCTGATCAGTTTCGCCATTACATGGCCCGAGCTCCAGACACCCGGAAACCAGAGCTCCTGAGCGGCTGCATGTTCACCTCCCGGAAGTGGGCAGAGATACCGTAACTCGTTACCCATGATGACCAAAAAGCATGCGTTTGCATCATGATAACACAAACAGGTAACAAAAGACGCGCGCATTAACCCTCAAGAGGAGGTGGAAGAGCATAAACGGCCAATAACGGTGTACACGAACCCGGTGACTTCAGACAGTCGTGAAACAGAGGCGTTTATCGGAGTTGTCACATTAATTCGCGACATGGGAATCGGTGAGGGGCGGAACTGTCTGGCAAGGCTTTGATCAAACGTTATAATGACTATTACACGGCCTAAACGGTCAAACATAGCCGGTTTCCGTTATAAAACAGACACAAGCGGGTATGTAAAACGCACGAACCGGTACCCGATAGTCTGTAAGCCGCTATTCTACAGGTCCTCTTCCCGTTAACAAAAGGCCCGGGCCGTCTGGACAGGAAGAGCACTAGCAAGAGGAAGACCCGGGGAAAGGAGGGGGAGCCACTGCCTTATAATAAAGCCCTCGAAATCACTCGTTACGCATCATAACCCCAAAATATAAACGCGAGGTGAGCTAAAACGGTTCAGGAGGGAAATACGGTTTCAGAACAGAGGGATACTCACAGGTGGAGGATGCGGATGGTGACGGATTTCAGCCCCGGTTCGCAGCAGCTCCCAGCTTTCACACCGACAACATGGCGGCTCGATCCAAGCAGACGCGCGCGGGGCATCATGGGTAGCATGAGAAGGAGCGCGTGCGGTTCATTGCGCCAAGAGGGGAGTGTCGTCCTTTGTTGTGCTCGAGACACATACAACAATGTACAGATTTACAGGCGCTCATAATGTGTGACACACCGAGTGAATGCCGACATGGGTTTTTGAAAGGGAAATTGGCTACTGGATTTATTTTGTTTTGCCTATTATAAGAGCAGAAATGTATTCATCTTTTGGCTGTATCTGTTGTTTGGGGCAAGACATATCCAATTTATATGTGTATTGTAGCCCATGAATAATCATACTTGCTGGTCTCAGTAGAAAATGCTAAATAAATAAATGTTTTTTTTTCTATCAGGCAATTGTGGCAATTTTAGAAAATAAAATGCAGTCACAGCAGGTCACTGTAAAAAGTTATATGATCAATAAGTTATGACAACATATATTTTTACATTGCTTTTAACTTATCAAAATAAGTATAAATTTTTTTTTTTAAGTTATTCAAGTTTCAACTAGTTTTTTTAAGTCAGTTTAATGTAATTTAAGTTGAAATGACTTGATTGTACTTAAAAATTTAAGGCCGCAACGTTTTTTTTACAGAGATTTATTATATCATTAATATAGTAATGCACAAAAAATTTTTTTATTAAATGTAATAATACTGAGAAATATACAATTTTGTAATGTGAAATTTTTTTTCTATATAAACACATGTTGCAAAAGCCATGATGTAGAAAAGAGGCCCGTTCTCTTATAAACTGCATTCATGTGTCAATCTGACATGTTTATGTGAATTATAATCTGGTAACACTTTATTTTAGTGTCATTGTTACATGTAGTTACTATAGTAATAACTATTAATTATGCATATCACATGCAACTAACCCTAAAACAAATCCTAACCCTATAGTAAGTACATGTAGTTACTTATTATTACTCAGTACTTAAATGTATAATTACAGTGTAACCAATCTCAATACCTTAAAAACACAATGTTAATATTGCATTAATAACAGACCCTTTAAAAAAAAAAAGGTATAAAATATTGTATTTTTATGTGTATTATGGTACATTATTTTAGGGAACATCCTTCTTTTATTATAATCTTTCATAGCAGCTGGTCAATATAGGGTAAAAAATGTAAGAAATAGATATCACAATATACTTCCCCAGTTGATTAATCTGTTTTGTATGAAATCTTGTCATGTTTAAATATGCAATATCTAATTAAATAGCAATAACTTATACGTTTAAAACAGAAATGTGAACATTGGATAAAATTGTGTTTTTATTTTTGTTTTTTTACGGCCTTAAATGGGTTGTAATTGAAATCTACAGATGTAAATAGATAAAGTATAATAAAATAAACACTTAAATGTGTATTCTGGACATTTTATTTCCATTACAGTCATGGTTATGGAAGCAAAATAGCCCAAAATCTGAAAAAAAATCTGACCAGTGCATGAAAAAACACAATAGTTTTTCCTCAAGTGTCTTGCCTTAAAAGTACTTTTACTGTGTAGAATTATTAAATGTTTCTTTTCTCTCTGCAAACATGGTTGGCAAAAACATGCAGTACTAGAAAAGATGCACGTTCTTCATTATAAGTTGCAGTCAGTCAGAAATAACAGGCTGTTCGAAATGTGAGTGCTTAAAGGGATAGTTCACTTTGAAATAAAGTTTTGATATGTTTTAGCTTACCTCAAGGGCATCCAAGATGTCTTTGTTTCCGCAGTAGTTTCAATTTTGATATTTTTAGGTCAAACCGTTCTTGTCTGTCAGTCATATAATGCAGGTCTATGGTCACCACCTCAAAGAGCATGCACAGAGAAGTCCAAATTAAACATGATTTAATGACTCGTAAATGTAAGCACACATTGATGACCTAAGACACGAAACGAGCGGTTTGTGTGAGAAAACGAACAGTATTTATATCGTTTTTACCTCTTGTAACCACAGCCACGTCCAAGTGATCTGAGGGCGCGGGCGCTTCGGTCTGTGCGTTACAAGAGGTAAAAACGATATAAATACTGTTCGTTTTCTCACACAAACCGCTCGTTTCGTGTCTTAGGCCATCAATGTGTGCTTACATTTACGAGTCATTAAATCATGTTTAATTTGGACTTCTCTGTGCATGCTCTTTGAGGTGGTGACCATAGACCTGCATTATATGACTGACAGACAAGAACGGTTTGACCTAAAAATATCAAAATTGAAACTACTGCGGAAACAAAGACATCTTGGATGCCCTTGAGGTAAGCTAAAACATATCAAAACTTTATTTCAAAGTGAACTATCCCTTTAACCTGCCTTTGTGTAAATGGCAGAAGGACATTCATTGGCTGCGAGCGAACTATTTCAAATGATGTATAATGAGATAAAACAGGTTTGGTCATTGTCTAAACATCTGACTCGCAGCTCTCTCTAGGGAGCAACAGTTTTACACACTTAGCCCTGTGAAAACGAGACCGAGCTTTTTATCCTCATCCATCAAAAACAGTGTTTTGTTTCACACGAACCCTCTGTGGAGCATTTATAAGTGAACAAGACAAAGAATAATCTAGAAAGAGTTTATTATGCTGAACAACTGTCCCACCCTTCAGGTGTGTCCCTCACACACACACACTCGCTCGCTCACACAAACACAGCCTTCCTGAAACAAGTATTGTACATTAACATACATTCATTCTAAGCTTGTGTTCAAATAAACATTTATGGCTAGTCACATTATGCGTCAGGTGCATAAGTACATATCAAAACGTGTTATCCGTGTATGTCGACACAATCAGAAACGCACATTCATGCACGCAGACGTATGAGGGCCAGCAGAGGCACAACTCCTCTGTCGTGAGTTTTACATGCACAAAGTCCTACAGCATTCCTCAAATACACATCTACCCAACCTAAAACATTCATCTAACACATTACATTATAGTGTCTTATATCAGAGTATAAACAATCACACACACACACACACACCAGAAAGAGCTGAGCGGGCGGCTCCGGCGTGTGCTCAAAGATTACCTGGGTCAAAGGTCGCCCACCTTGTGAATACACATGTACATATACAAAGGCCTTTGTGCTTGTGCACATATGAACACACACACACACACACACACAGAAGATCTGTCACTGTCTTCAAGTCTGATTTAATAATGCTTGTGTAAGCACCTTCTCGTGGTCCTGTCCATATGCTCGTTCTCTCTCTGTGACTCTGGCTGGTGTGGCTCTATGTATATTCTCCAATAGAGGGAGACAAAGTTTGAGAGACACAGACGTTGAAGTTGGTAGAACATTTCCCAAAATGCAGAGGACTTCATCTCTCAGAGATAAGCAGTTGTTTTCCTCTGAAGTTGGGGTTTTCTTCTGGTTTTTAACCAGTCCTAGATATAAATATATATATATAAATATAAAAAACATACATTTACAAAGTGAAGTTTCTAAACTAGTAGGCTGTGGCTGCGTCCGAAATCACACTCTCTTGAGGAGATACTTCATTACCCTGCGAACACTAAAACGGTACGTTCTATATAGTATTAATGTAATTTGGATGTACTACGTTCGCCACTTTGTCATTATCATGTGATCTGTCAGCGTCACTGCCATTCACAAATCCTCTCCCGTGGCCTCATGGGATAGTAAAGTGTCCATCGTATGCACACTTCAGAATCTCGCCGGAAGTAGTAGGTCATCCGGGTACTTTTGCCTACTATTTTATGAGTACTGTGAATTCAGACATACTTCTTTTGTCACATACTGTTTTCTGCCTACTATATAGTAGGGAAGTATGTGATTTCGGATGCAGCCATAGTGTTTAAAGTACTTCCATACTACTTACGCTATTTTTATATTACATAGTGCCTATACTGTCTGTGCAAACTCAAAGTATGCAAAATTTCACCACTAAATGACCATATTGGGCAAAATGGAAAGTATCCCATAGCAGTCCTTTTAACATGTTTTTCTTGAAGAAAAAGTAACATTAAAATGCAAAATAACATAAAAAAAATTAAATAACAATTGAACATTGTAAATAAGTAAATTGATCAATTATTTAATTGATCATTTTAAATATTTATTATAAAATATATCAATTTACTAGACACCACCTGGACAAACAATTTGATGTAACAACGATGTGGCACACTACTTTTTGAAATGCTCATCGTTCTTTTATGCAATGGCTGCGTCCGAAATCGCAGGTACTTATTTTGAATAATTACTTCACAACAGCTAAAAAAGTTCTATATAGTATGAATATGGGAAGTATGAATGAAATCCATACTTTGTTATTGTCATGTGACCTACGGAGTCAGTTGTGTTGCTTCACTGTCCTTCACAAATCCTCTCCCGTGGCCTCATGGGATAGTAAAGTGTCCATCGTGTGCACACTTCAGAATCTCACCGGAAGTAGTAGGTCATCGGGGTACTTTTTGATTACTCTTTTATGAGTACTGTGATTTCAGACATTTTTCGCCTACTATATAGTAGGGAAGTATGTAATTTCGGAGGCAGCCATCTTGTTGCAACATTTTATCTTGTTGCAAGTGGGTTTTTTATTTGTGCACTTGTTATTCCGTGTGGAAAAATCAAATAAATACAATTAAACATAGTCCCATCACACACTATATTTAAAAAAAAAAGGTTTTTTTTATAGAGACAAGTTCAGACAACGTTTTGAAAGAGTACAATTTTTAGTAAAGAATGCCTAATTGAACGAGTACTTACGTATAGAGAGGCTGCAGCTGTAAGTGAGAACTCTTTTGTGGAGGCTGGTAACTATAAGAGTCCAATCCACCAATGAAATCAACTGCAAAAGAGACACTCATCAAAACTTCAATATCATTGTGATTCAGTTTCTAACAGCAGATTTCCAAATACAGAACACTTACAGCTGTCCTCGTCATCCAGGAAGACTCGACTGACATAGCAGGCATAAACAAATCCAAAGAGCTGAAACACAGAACCAAAACAATACGTGAACTGGCCAAACATTCATATGCATTTACTTTTGTACATGTAAAGAAAGGAGATCAAACGGAAGCACTCACTGCAAGAAACACTTGCAAGGCTGAGCTGACCACCTCTATGTACTGGTAATCCAGTAGGCAGCCACTGACAGTGATCACATGATGATCCTGAGGAGCCAATGGTGAGTCAGGCACTGGAGTAACTAAGCAACCGGGCCCGTTCTCCATCCACCAGGAACGATGAAGCGATGTGTTAAATGTCATTAGAAAATCCTTGTCCTGAAGAAGAACACAAACAGAAAAAAAATCATTAGCTCAACTTTGACTGAGTTTTATTTACTCTATTTTAGTTTTATTAATATTTCAAATACAATTTTTAGTTTTCATGGTAATTTTTGTTTAAATTTTAGTAATTTTGTTAATTTTTTTATTTTAATTTAACTTGTACAAACTTATATCAATTTATTGCCAAGGAAATATTTAGAAGTTTTTCTATTCATATTTTTTATTTAATTTAAGCATTATTATTATTAATAATTTTTTTTTTAATATTCAGTTTTAGTTAATGATAATAATCCTGTTCCAAAGAAAAATGTTTGTCTTCATAATCTATTAACTCTTTCCCCGCCAGCATTTTTAATAATTTTCACAAAACTTTCATGGCCCCCAGAATATTTTGTTGCATGAATATATCAAAAGAAAACAATTATTCTAGCTTTTTTCTATGCATTCTTTTTTTATCAACACTTGAATGTGGGTGTTTCATAAAAAAAGCAACATTTTGAACAAAAAGCTGAGAAAAACGTGTTTTTATTCTAAGACTACGACGTGCATTAGCAATGCTTTTATTGTTTTTATTGTTTTTCCAGATCCTATCGTATAGCAGTGAAAACACGGAAAGCAGGAAAAATCCGTCAATGGCGAAGAAAGAGTTAAAATGTCCTCAAGCCCTAATTTTCCTATTAGATCACGTTAACCAATAAACTCTTTTACGGGAAGCCCACTTTTCATAATCAAAACTATTCCCAATTAATAAAATTAAATAAAATGCCCTTAGTTTCACTTGAAAATACAGAAGAAAAAAAGCCATTTCATGTTGACTTTAAGATTAAAGCATAACAATGCATGATATCAAGCATTTAATCGGACTCTTTGGTGTATTTACACAATGACTAACAATGACTGGAGTCTGGAGCAATGAAGTAAATTCACCTACCTGTGACAGGTGGCCAACTTCCAGGTAAAAACAGATGATGAAAGAGTTCCAGCCAACCCAGAGCACAAGCCATACAGCATACTGAAAGTGCGCACACACACAAACACACACAAATATGAACTAATGAACACATATGAGACATGTAGTGTTCAAAAATACACCATTTTCGTTTGTGAATTACATCTGACATTTGTTTGTCTCACCATGATTATGCTTATGCCTACCAGTATTAGATATCTGGAGCGGATTTGCACCGTTCCAAATGCTCCCAAAATGACGGCCACAATGTGGAGGAAATTGGCCAGGATGGGAGCCCACTGATATCCCAAAAAGTCAAACACCTGCCTCTGTAATGCAGCGACCTGTGAACAAACCAAGAACAGATTACATGCACAATCATTCAACTTTTATGCATTGCATACGTGTGCACAAAAAGCTTGTGCCAATACAGATAATGTCACGTATAGCTGTCGACCCTTGTCCCACATCATTGCAGACTTCAAAATGAGCTACACTGGGTTTATTTAGGCAAATATGAGACTGGCAAAACAAGCTTGTGCTGCAGACTCCCAAGTTACATTGGCAGGAAAGTAGTACACAAAATCTGGTATTGCTGGCGACTATTCTTGGCAGAGATTGACGTGCGCAGCATTCATCCAAGAAACGGCCCAGTGCACATTAACCATGGAAAATTCTTCCAAGAAGGATCATCATCAGCCACGGGGATCTGCGCCAGTGCGATTCTCGTACACTGGAACGTCCATCATTGACAAAGTACTGCATGTTCTCTGCCGCTTCGCATATGCATTTATTAAATATTTGGGTTAATTTGATGATGGAGAGAGTCTGGTGGAGGGTTAGTTTAGCCAAACTCCAAAGCTGTGTCTGGTCCATGTTTGCTGTGCACTTTAATTAGTTTAGTTCTAATTACTCTAATAACAATTAGGCGACTCAGATTTTTATAAAGAATATTCGGCGAGAATAACTATTGAAGAGTTAGTTCACCTAAAAATTTTAATTATCCCGTAATTTACTCACCCTCAACCCATCCTAGTTGTATATGACTTTCTTCTTTCAGCCAAACACAATCAAAGTTATATATATATAATAATATCCTAGCTTTATAATAGGAGTGAATGGTACCTTAGATTTTGAAGCCCAAAAAAGTGCATCCATCCATCATAAAAGTAATACTTACGGCTCCAGGGGTTAATAAAAGCAACGTTTTTTTTGTGAGAAAAATATCCATATTTATAACGTTATTACCGTACGCGAGTTGAGTTCTGAGGGAAGATTGACCTCTGACCCTTTGCTTTGATTAATAGGATCAATCAAAACAAACACCGGTCATGAATTAGAAGTCTAAAAGGAGAAATGTGGGAGGAGCTTGAGTTTTTTGCCCTATATGTTTGAACCGAGAGAAGCGTCTACTCTCACCTAAGCTCACGCTACTCCCACATCCTTCGTCATCCGTCGTGTCAAAGGTCACTCTTCCGCGGGAACTAGACTCCCGTACGCCAGTTAACGGAAGCCAGTGATTATAGTTTATAAAGTTACAAATATGGATATTTTTCTCACAAAAATGCATTGCTTTGCTTCAGAAGGACTTTATTAACCCCTGGAGCCGTGTGGAGCACTTTTATGATGCATGGATGCGCTTTTTTTTTTGGCCTTCAAAATCTCGTCCTCCATTCACTGCCATTATAAAGCTTGGAAGAGCCAGGATATTTTTTAAGATAACTCCGATTGCGTTTGGCTTAAAAAGAAGAATGTCATATACACCTAGGACAGCTTGAGGGTAAGTAAATTATGGGACAATTTTCATTTTGGGGTTGAACTAACTCTTTAACAATGAATCAGCAGCACACAGGTTGCAGTGGACCATTAAACCCACTAAAGCAAATGGTCAATAAAAATATAGTCCCCACACACAGAGGAGCAATCCCAAAGCTCTGTGCTGCAGCTGTTTCCATGGAAACTGCCTGGAGCCCCGGCCCACAGCCCTATGAGAGTAGAGCCCCTTCCTCAGGAGACCCTCATCCTCACATGCACCTCATCTGTGTGTTACACAAACAAATCACGCATATGCAAACATATCTGGGGCATGAAGTTTGAAGCAAAGGCATGAAGTATAAAGCAAAGTTTTGACAGGTGACTCGACTGAAAAGGGAACCAGGGCATCTTGTCCCTTGGCTTCACCTCTTCCAAATCACAACCTCAGGCCAGTGGATACCCTGCGCTCTCTCTCTCACACACAATATCTGTTCAGGTAAGACTAGAGATGAATTAATGATCAACAACACTGTCTTACCAGCTGCAGGCAGCAGATGACCACCAGCGTGCACCTCCCGTCGCACGGACCCATGCTCTCGCGCTTGAGGCACGGCTTGGGCCCCGCGAGGCGTCGGGAGAAAGCGGAGTCCCCGGTGAGGTCCAGCGCGCTTCAGGGTCTTGCTTCACGATCACCGTTCAAAACATCAAGAAGCCCACCGGGCCGCGTGCATGCTTCGGTGAGTCGATGCTTTCTGGTGTCTGCCGGTCATACCGGACCTCCTCCGCGGAATTGTCCTGACCGAAGCGTCCTACAGGATCCCAATCTTAGCGGATCTGCCACACCTTCATTCCGCACCGGGTACCAGGCGCAGACAGCCCCAAAAATAGCACAAAGAACAGAGGAAGAGTCAGTGAGCGCGTTTAACTGGCAGAAATGAGCATCATATGATAAGCATCAGACGGAGCGCGAGCGGGGGGGTGTAAGGGCGCGAGGTAAGAAAATAACGCAAATTAAATCCGGAGCGAGCACAAAGCGAGCCTTTGTGACTTACCGTGAGGTCCGGTATTCGTTTTTTCCGAGCCGATGTACCGTCGGGGGTCTCAGACTGGCGCTGTAGTTTGAGAGACCATCCTCCTGCCCCGGCTCTTTGTCAACATCGGCACCGGGAGGAGGGTGAGGGTTTGTGGGTGGAAATCAGACACCCTCGTGCGAGTCTGACTGCAACCCGCTCGCGCAACCGCACAGAGACGCTCGCCGCGCGCTTGGCACGACATGAGGCGTTTTACTGAGGCTGAGCACAAAGAAAACCATCATGCGGCTGCGGACGCTCTTATTACAAAGTGGAAACATTTCTATATTTAAACTAATTTTACGTATGCAAGGTGTAGCCTACAATATACACTACAGTTTTAGTACACACACACTTACAGTAATATATATCATATACAGTACATGTGTTTTGTACATACACACGTGACACATATATATAAACACACACATATGTGTATATATATATATATATATATATAAAATGTACACAAATAAATCACAATTTTTAGTTTCTCTTCAAACAATAAGGGAGTGTTTTGACTGATGATATTCTGTTTTCTTCTGTGTTGTTGATCATATTTGATGTGATATGTGCACTGTTTATGTATAAATATGAATTAAAGTCTAAATTAAATAAATTCATCATATGAAGCAATTGTTTCTTTTCAGAAGATTTGGATTACACTGCTTAATTCATAAATGATTACTTTTACCATGTTTAATACATTTTGCAACACACATATTATACAAACTTATGTTAGATGTGATTAATCGATTTGACAGCCCATATATATATATATAAATAAACACACACACACACACATATATACATACATATATATATATATATATATATACACACCATACTTCATTTACAAAGACGGTGCGCATACAAATTTTGGAAACAAGTTTATTAAAAGCATAAAAAAGCCAACGTTTTTCCATCACATTTCCCCCCCAACTGGTCATCACAATTTCCCAACCAAATACAAATGGCAAAATTCCAAATAATATCTCCATCTGCCCATCCTCTTCTCATTCTCACATTCAGTCACACACATAAACCGCATTCGCACACACAAACACAGCTACTGAATCTCTCCGATGTAGAGGCGCTTATCACTGGATCCAGAGAGAACTGTGAAAGACATAAAATAATGGAGTTACACATGGAGCAGAAAAGGGAAGAATGTGCTCGCTTTATCATTCCAGTTATATATTCTATTATTAGAATAAAATATTTTTTTACCAATGGGTTCTTCTGGATGGAAAGCCACCTCATTGACAGACCCAGCATGACCAGGCAGCTTATAAAGGATCCTACGAGTCGTTGTGTCCCATATATACACAAACCTACAACACAAACACACCACATTAACCTCACACATAATCATAATGCACAAACACTGCATAAAGCACACAAACACACCCTTACCTGTCAGCAGAACCGGCTGCAATCTTCCCCCCATCAGGAGACCAACAGCATCTGAGAAGATTCTAAGACACAAAAAACATTCAATTACAAAACACTTTTTATGAACTTCCAGTTCAGCTTCAGTGATGTTTATTGAAATAATTCATCATTAATTCACCCCTGATCAAGGGTGTTCACACTTGCAGTTCGATTCACTTGGTTTGGACCAACAAAAAAACACATTTAGTCATGGTCCGCTTAGCATTCACATTGGCATTTTAACACCAAAGCTAAATATACTGAACCAAAAGGCATAAGGATATGTTCACAACCTGATTTTATTATGTATATTTCACGACAGAACTTACCGAACATCCAAAACAATGCTGTGTTCTGGGATAAATGCGCTCGTTGTATGTGCGTAGCTACATATGATGGTATTTTGACCAGCTGTGAACTTGTGAAGAGCTTATAAAATGTGTAAAGGAGTCAAAACAGCGTCAGGAATCCCTCAACAAAGATCTGCTGCAACGAGACTCGTTTCTGATGCCTGTACCGAACTGTGATGATGGGCAACATCGCGACTATGACGAGAAAAAACAGATATGCTTGAGCATTCTGTCCTTTTTAGGGTCGCATCTTGTGACATCATGTACCGTTTTTGGTTCATTTGCATGTCTTTGGTCTGTGTTGCGTTCATATTTCATTCGAAACCGCACCAGTTTGTTTGGAAGCGGACCGAAACTCATCTTTTCAGGGTCTCGGTCCACTTGTTTGGTGTCATCAGGGTTCGGATGACAACGTTACACTTATTCAGATGAACCGCACTAACAGAGCAATCGCACCAGGGTTCATTGTAATCAAACCAAACCTGCCACGTGTGAACACACCCTTAAAGTCTAGCTTTAAAAAAAAATTGATAGCAGCAATCACAGTGGAAATCACATACTCTATTTATTTATAAACAACAAAAGAACTATAAAATAAGGTAATCTTTTTTATTGTTGTAAATATATACAAAGAGAATTGGGCTTACCTTCTCAAAGTTATGGACATTTCCCTGAAAGATCTTCACACACCTCTCCTTTGGTGCAAACGGACGGATATCCCAGACACGCACTGTTTCAAACACAGAAAACATCAGCAGACGTTTTACATGTAAACTCATTAATAACAGGTTCACATATACTACCATTCAAAAGTTTAGGGTCAGTATGTTTCTTTAGGGTGAACATGAAAGACTTCTTTAAATACTTTTGAATGGTAGTGTGTGTACAAACGCACACACACACACACACGTAAGCTTACCGCTGTTATCCATGGAGTTAGACAGCAGGTAGGATCCATCTGCGCTGAGACTCAGACCGGTCACAGAGTCTCCATGACCCTGCATACTGTAAATCAGTTTGTTTTGTCTGAGGTCCCACACCTGCAGCAATACACACACATACAGACAAGAATAAACAAACATTCAAAAACATTGAGGCAAAAAAAGCCCAGAAGAGTATTTGTTGCACACAGACCTTTATGTCGTTGTCGATGCCTCCTGAGATGATCTGGTCACTGGTGTCATTGAATGTCACACTAAGAACCTGATACGTGTTCTGGAACGTGTGAACAGAGGCCTTCTTCCTGATGTCCCACAGCTACAACAACACATGAACAAAGAGGAACCAAGGACACTTTTAGACCATCTGAACACTCTTATTTAAAAAGCATGATGAGCAACAACCTAAAGACTTACTGTAACAACTATCATAATAACATGGTCTGCATTTAAAAATGAACTTTTGCTGTTTCAAAACTGTCTTATAAAGGTTGAGAATGCCCAGGCTAAAAAACTGTATAATCGTTTAATAACACTTCAGATGAGCTGAGTTTGTTTATGTTATTATTTTGTTTTTGTCTATTTTTATTGTTTTGAGTTCTTTCAATCTAGTTTGTTCTCCCTTGTCATGTGAACAGTATAGAAAATGTCTTTTCAGATGATTTGCAGGAGGTGTGACTCTTAGTTTACAATAGAATAAGGTTATATTGTACATTTTGAGAATGTCATATTTTTCTTCTTTGTCAGACATTTTTATTGTTTATTGTGATAAGAAAAAATTCAATAAAAACAAAAAAAACAACTATCATAATACAGACGGCAATCTTTAATTTATTGATTAGTCGGGGTGAAACGATACCCTCATGTCATGAAGTCACGATTCGATACATATCACCATACTGAACTCATGATACAATATTATTGCGATACTCCAAGACATAAAACAAAACATTTACTGGTGATTAAAATCTAAATTTGATATTACTGAGGTGTAAATGCATAGGCTTTGACTTGGTGCTGATAACCCAAAGCACAGGACAATAATGACACCAGAATAAAAATATTCATGATTCTGAAGCTTAACATACTGAATTATTTTAGACGAATATGCTTGCACTGACACTGACTAGATATATTTAAAATAAATGTAAGCCACATTTTACTGATAGCAGGAGACATTTGGCATTATCAGGACCCACAAATATTCCCCCATTGCATTATTATACATTATATTCAACATTATATATAGTAGTTTAATGTGGTACTGACTGAAAAAATGAATAATTTCTCACAGTAATTTTTATTTTGGGTGAACTATTCACAATACAGTTTGTCACTATCCACGATACATATCGTTGCATTTTTGTATTATGATATATTGTGACGATATATTGTTACACTCCTATTGATTAGCTATTTGCCTGTTTATACCAGAGAGACTATGATAGTGGAGATTTTGACTTAAAAGGGAGATTGGGTTCGTGACACAAACCAGGTCATATAAACTAGGCCATTTTGACTATATCCTGGGCCAGATTGAAAATGCATTGGAGTTTTTTGTTTAAGATTCAAAAGGTCGAGACATGTCAAAGACTTCTTGTGGGTTTCCAGTCTAGACTCGGGGGTCGATTGGTGTCATGTTTACCTTTACAGTTCCATCATCGCTGCCTGTACAGGCCAGCTGTGGGCCGCGGCGAGCCGGAAAACATGAGTTCACAAAGGAAGTGTGACCTTTCAGACGCTTCACACGCTCCCCTGTCTCACTGTCCCACACGCATACGGTCTTGTCTGTACTGGCGGAGAACAGCAGACTGGAAGACACAAGCACACACTGAGTATGTGATATATACTAGTGTATGCATTATTCTTGTGTACATTCTCAAGAATTCTTTGGTTCCATAAAGAACCTTTAACATCCATGGAATCTTTCCATTGCACAAAAGGTTCTTAATAGTGGAAAAATGTTCTTTAACTTTTTACTAAGAAAAAAAAAAGGTTCTTTTAAGAACTGTTCACTGAAAGGTTCCACCAAAAATGGTTCTTCTATGGCATCACACCCTTTGAAACCTTTATTTTTGAGTGTAAATGCAACAGGAAGCTTTTTCTAGAACAATATCTGTCCCACAAACGCACCTGCCGTCCGTATTATAATGAAGCTCCATCACAGCTCCAGTGTGGCCTTTAAGCGTGGCATAATTCTCACATTCTCCATAGACATTCCACATCACTACAAGAACATGAAAATCAGACATAATCAATAAAAGCAAATCAATATAATAATATAAAATAGTCAAAGTCATGTGACTCACAGATGAGGCGGTCATATCCAGAAGAGGCTAGTGTGGCTCCATTGGGGTGAAACTTGCAGCAGTAAACTTCCCCTTCGTGACCGGAGAGCAGCATTATGGGAGCCTGCAGACTGGAGCTGCGGGGGGGGCCCTGACATTAACACAAACAGATTAGTGTTTATGCAGGTGCTCTTATAAATCCTCAAGGATGAAGAAGCCCCCCTATCATTTGACTGCAGATGCTAATCTGTTCTGAAATCTGAAATCGATTTTAAACTAACCTTTTAAGTGAAGCAAATCCTTCTCGTTCGCTTCCATGCACTAATTTTTTCATGTACTGTAGTCTCTCCTTTTTAAAGCGTGTGAAATGTTCTTTATTAATGTTGTTATTGGTGAGGGAAATATGTATGATGCTTAAACGCATGGTAGATTTGTATACACACAAAGTGCAATAAAGGATAATAAGCAAGCAGTGTTGGGTAAGTTACTCTGAAAAAGTAATAAATTACTAGCTGCTAATTACATCTTTAACAGTCCATTTAGATTAATGTACTAATTACGCTCTCTCAAAAGTATTGGATTACTTATTACTTTCCAAATCCCATATATATCAACCTCAAACAGTTGAACATTACAAGGATAGGAATGAAACTGCACTTCTGATTCTTTCAAATAAATAATTAAAAATTGCATAAATTATTCTTGAACTGACCAAAGTATATAAATAGATTTAAAATAGATATTTTAACATTAAATTTTGATGTTAAATCCACTGTTTTATATGGAATTGTTCTATAGTCTATACAGTATTTTATGCAATTACATCAAAAGTAAACTGTAAACTGTAATTAAATTACAAAAAAATAAGAGTAATCCCTTACTTTACTTTTCAAAGGGAAAATTAGTTAAATTACAGTGATTAATTACACCCAACACTGATAAAAATGACTGGTTTTATCACTGGTTTTAGTTGCGAACGATTGAGAATGACTAAATGACTCGCTCATACTACTTGTCTTCACTTACTGTCGTAACAATATTATGATGTGACATATAGAAGTGTATCAATGAAAGTATTCAGTGTTCAAGACCTCTTCCACGTTTAGCTTCACTGAATAGATGAAAGTGCCTTCATTTAATTAGTTTACTTGTATTTTTGACCAAATGTCACATTCATAAATGCAAGATTAGTAAATAAAAACACTTTATGGTTTTGTTGACTGAAGTTTGGCTGTACATAGACAGTATTAGAGACTCTTTGTTTAAGAAAGTTAATAAAGACTTTAAACGTTTGTGAGTTTTACAAAGTATTATTTGTTATTTATATACACGCTTATATTATAACAACCCCAGGTACTTTTTCTTTCTTTCTTTCTTTCTTTCTTTCTTTCTTTCTTTCTGTAGTTGTTTTAGTTCTGTTTGCATAATTGTTCGATATTTCCACTGACTGGAATGAAAGTGAATGTATAATGTCAATATAACAACGTAACCGTTACATTGCCGTAACACTGTAACCTGCAGAATTATACACTGAACAAATGCCCTTGGTGAATTGATTCAAAAGATTCGAGTCAGTGAATCAAAGCCCCACTACTAGTATAGGCATTTATACATCTATGAGCAACAGTTAGTTGTTTTAATCTAATTCAGCTCTCAGTTTCTTTACCATAGCAGTGAGTTGTTGCGACTGCGCTGCAGACACCAGTTCTGTCCGAGGTCTCTTCACACCGACGGGAACGACTGCCATCTCTAGACCGCGCTTCTTCGGTTCGATCATTGTCGTGATAAATAAATGAAACAATAAATTTAAATGTTTCAAAACTGCGAGCTTTTTTCAAATGAATGAGTATTCCGAGCTTCCCACCACCATCGAGCAACACACGCTCGCCAAGTAAAACACATCCGGTAACACGAAGCCTTCTGATTGGCTGGCTCACGCACCTCGCGGTCTTATTGGATACTGTTAAAACTCTGAACCGGAAGAGAATACACTCACTCACGGAAGTCGTGTGTCATCCAAACAAGAGGAGTGTAACGTTCATGGTCTACATGTATTTACGTTTAGTGTTGTGATGTTTTGTAGTGTATTATGGATTTACTATATTTTCATCGGATGAATTTTTTTGGAATTTAAACTGCGACTATTTAGCACGTGCATACTGGAATTTTCTTATAGATCGCTTTCAAACAAGAAGAGTGTATGGTCTACATGTATTTACGTTTTGCGTTGTGATGTTTTGTAGTGTATTATGGATTTACTATATTTTCATCGGATGAATTTTTTTGGAATTTAAACTGCGACTATTTAGCACATGCATATTGGAATTTTCTTATAGATCGCTTTCAAACAAGAAGAGTGTAAGTTAATGGTCTATTACATGTATTTACGGTTTGCGTTGTGATGTTTTTTAGTGTATTGTGGAGTGACGTGTCTGGCAGTATTTACATTTTACCATATTTTATCGGGATAAAAAAATATTTTTGGAATTAAAACTGCGACAATTTATCACGTGCATATTGCAGTTTACTTATAGATTGCTTTCAAATTACAGTAAACGGTCCTCTATCTGAAGTTGAACCCATCTGGTAAGTTTATATCACATAAGGCCCACTAACTGGCGTCTTCAGATGCAGTGCTCAGTGGCTGGATTAGTTTAATACATGTGTACCTCTGCAGGAGTGATGGAGGAGGAGTGGGCGAGAGAGCCAGCCGGTCTGGATGGAATTCCACCAATGTACAGCATTCTGAAGGGAGAGGTTAGATCTAAGAGTAAACGTGCAGAATCTAAAATCACATAAAAATATCCTTTTACTGATCTCCCATGTCTTATTTATTTAGGTAGTGTCCGTTACAACATACGGCGCTTTTGTGAAGATTGCAGGATACAGAAAACAAGGTAAAGTTGGATAGTTACCAATGATAGTTACCGAGATGTGTGTTCTCATTTAAAGGGGATAGTTCACCCAAAAACGAAACTTCTGTCATTATTTACTCACCCTCATGTCGTTTCAAACCCATAAGACTTTCGTTTATCTTCAGAACACAAATGAAGATCTTTTTTGATAAAAATCCGAGGGTCCCTCCATTGACAGCTACGCAACTACCACTTTGACGCTTCTAAAAGTTCATAAAGAGATTGTAAAACTAATCCATATGAATTTCTGAAGAGACACGATCACTTTATATGTTGAACAGATTTAAATTAAGCTTTTGATCCGCAAACTAAAACAATAGCTCAATCGAACCTGCTTGAAATGCGAGAACAAACTTCATTGGTTCTTGCTGAAGCTCAATCGTGCTGCGTAACACGATAATGAACCTCATTGGTTCTCGCACGTCATGTGAACATGCTTGAGCTTCCGTTTACCACAACTGATGTGTGAGTTCGTGTTTATATATGAATAAAAGCCTAAATCCAATCTGTTCAACATTTAAAGCGACAGAGTCTCTTCAGAAGTTTTGGACTAAACCGCTCAATTCATATGGATTCGTTTTACGATCTCTTTATGAACTTTTTAAAGCGTAAAAATGGTAGTTGCGTAGCTGTCAATGGAAGGACAAAAAGCTCTCAGATTTCATCAAAAAGATCTTCATTTGTTTTGATCTTCATAAGGGTGAATAATTAATGACAGAATTTTAATTTTTGGTGAACTATCCTTTTAAATCAACAAATATGAATACACACATAATAACTTATGTTTATTTGTTTTTCAGGTCTGGTTCATAAGAGTGAGATGTCATCCTGTCGGGTGGAAAACCCATCTGAAATAGTTGATGTAGGGGAGCAAGTGTGGATAAAAGTCATTGGCACGGAGGTACATTCAATTACAACACTGATATACCAACACTAAAAGTGAAATAGATACTATAATTTGACACGCAGCAGTGATTCATTTAGAGTCTTTTATAATGCAGTTATATTTTTTTAATAGTGCTTTTTGTTTTCTATCCACTATCAGATGAAAGATGATAAAATCAAACTGTCCTTCTCTATGAAATCTGTCAATCAAGGCACTGGCCGGGACCTAGACCCCAACAACGTCATGGCAGAGTAAGTGGATCTATTGTACATGAGTGCTGTATTTATACTAGGTTAAATACCCCTGGTTAGGGCTGCACGATTAATCGAATTTTAATCACGATCACGATTTTGGCTTCCCACGATCAAAGCAACAGCGCGCGCCTACCGATTGTGTCGCGCGCGAGAGAGACTGAGTGACAGTGCGCGTGAGAGACCGAGTGTGAGCATTAGTAAATTGCATTAGTAAATTGGTACAAACTACATATATATATTTACTATTTATACCATGGTCTGGGTGAATACTCGATTCTGATTGGCTGCAGGGTGTCCGTTAAAAAGTGATAGAGGACACCTAAAGTAGTTCTGGTGAAACTGCCTGTTTACCATTCGAAATTAATAAATAAATGCGCTGCCTACAACAGCTGTGTGAGTAACCATAGCAACAGGCAGTCAACGTTAGTTAGATATTACATAGCCTACTACAATGAGCGACTTCGTTCGTTATTTCATCTTCAGTCTCTCACGGACTGACGGAGCCCAGTAAGCCCGCAGACTGCTCTCGCATCGATGGCCTGTCACCGACTTTATTTGACGGCTCTCCAGTCCAGCATCGGAGAGTCGACCTACATCGGTGCTTCGGAGGCTGTGGTTAGTGTAGACTAGTGTAACACAAAGTGTTTTATGTGCAATAAAAAAATAACTATGCCTACCTTTGTGTTTCATGAAAAAAAAAATGCATTTTTGAACCTGAAGGGTTCTACAAGCTGAGCGGACTATAAATATCTCAAGTTGCTAAATAAATCGTCAGGCAAGTTATTATTTGAAAAAACTAGATTTAGCCTAATTAAAATATAAACTAATGTTTTAAAAATGTTTTATTTGGCAAGTGACCATGGTATAAGCGGGTTAATGCCCTTCGAGGTGACCGTTGTCAGGTTTTAATGGACTTCGGCGGAGGCAACCGTCCTCCGCTGCGCGTCGGCCGGTTTACACCTCGCCGTCGTCCATTAAAACCTGACAACGGACACCTCGTCGGGCATTAACCCTTACATAAGAGGCATGGAAGTTCGATTAATGGACTCCAATAATCAGTCCTACAAACGTCTTGTTTTGACCTATTGTTTAACAAATAGAAATAATTTGAGCACATAAACTTTCACATGGAGAATTAAATAGATTAAATTTATGCAGTAAGACTTCACAACTAATCACTGACACTGTAGGCCTACCACAACATTTTACATTTATTAAGCGTCAAATAACAATGACTCTGAATTTCATCCATTAATCGAACTTCCATAGTGCAGTTCTGCCTTGAAATGTTCTCATTTGGTTACATTCTGTTATGGAATATTTGTTTTTTTATTGATTGTATATTTTGCGTGTTTTATTCACATCCATTATGCAGGTACAATGCAAGTTTATATTTTGCTTCCTAAAATAGATTTACACAATGTAAAATGTAAAATAGTGCCCTGTTGAAGTTTTGCTACATTTTCTTTATTGTTTTCTTTATTCTTTAAGGAGATGCACTGAATTTTGGTGAATAAGAGGACCTATTTTATTTAGATACACATACATTAGCAGAAATGTAGCACAATATGGATGTGAAAGCAGTTATAATTAGCCTATGTGGCAATAAAATTTGTTTTGGTTAAAATCAACAAATAATCGTGATAATTAATCGTGATCGCAATATTGATCAAAATAATCGTGATTATCATTTTGGCCCAAATCGTGCAGCCCTACCCCTGGTTTCACAGACAAGGCTGAAGTCTAGTCCCAGACTAAAATGCATGTTTGAGCTGTTTTAACTGAAAGCAACTTGCAGTGGCATATCTTAAAATATGTCAAAGCCAGTGTTTTGTCTCAAGATGCACACCAGTAATGTGTTTTTTTAAGGCACGTTTATAAAAAGCCACTTAAATGCCCTAATTGAACTAAGGCTTAATCTAAGCCCTATCTGTGAAACCAGGCCATATACTGTAGTAGTAACTATATGCTTAATGAATGTTGTTCACTCAGACAGGACGAGCGTCGCCGGAGACAGTTCAGAGATTACGGCGGGCAGAAGATCACTTTGGAGGCTGTGCTCAACACCACATGCAAAAAGTGTGGCTGCATTGGTACGAAACTCCAGGTTGTGTCAACCTGACCCAATTCTAGTGCACATTAGACTCTTAACCCTTTACAGACTGCCTGATTTTATTGCAAGCTCAACTGAAATGCTGTATCAACAAGATTTAGCCAAATGAAAATCATTATTTTTCCTCACTACTTTGACTTGAGTACATGTTCGGGTAAAACTAAGACAAATCTGCTGAAAACCCACTATAGCTTAGATTATATGAAGGACGAAGTTAGTCGTGATGTGACTTATATTTAAAGCATAAGTGTTTCTAATTGTCATTGCAATAGTTAAAATGTTGTGGTCTGTTTAGTATGAACACTCTTCTGCTCACCAAGGCAGCATTTATTGGATCGTAATTTCGTGAAATATTATTACAATTTAAAATAGCTATTTGAAGATATTTTAAAATGCAATTTATTCCTGTGATGCAAAGCATTTTTAGTGTCACATGATCCTTTAGAAATCATTCTGCTGATTGCATTTTTGATTTTTATAAATGTTAAAAACCGTTGATCTGCTTGAAATCTTGATACATTTGTTCAGGACTCTGATGAGTAGAAAGTTCAAAAGAACAGCATTTACTTGAAATATAAAAATGTTGTCTGATGTTGTTGTCCACAAACTAGTGTATATTACAGCAAACACTTTTAATTGGATTTCATACACAATCATTGAGCGTGTCACTTTCACGGCCTTCATTTGCAGGTTGTATGTGTAATCCCTGAACACCTGTTATGACTGTGTTCAGGTTTTAAATAATGACGTGTATGTATGTTTGCATGCATGCAAGGTCACTTTGCAAAGGACTGCTTCTCTAAGCCTGGCCTGCAGTACAGTTTAGTGCCAGAAGAGGAGGAGGAGCCGACCAGCAACCAGAACACCCAGTCAGAGCCCCAGAAACGTAAAAAGGTGCGGACACACCCCAGACACCAAAATTATTGCGCCAGATGACACTCTGCAAGCAAGCGGTTGTGTAACCTTGCTCACTTGCCACCAAATTCTGCAATACTTCTCTACTATTACAGACAACTTTCATTTGCATGCTCATGATGCCCTTTTTCATGCAGGAAAAGAAGGCAAAGAAAGAAAAGAAGAAAAAGAAAGAGAAAGAAAAGAAGAGAGAGAGTTCTTCATCTGATAGCGGCGCTGAAGATGCCAAACGGCCGAAGCATTCACACACACACTCGGACAAGAAGAAAAAACACAAGAAACACAAACACAAGGCGAAGTAATTTTGGTTTGCAAATCGATTCAAACTTGCGCATGTCGTTTTATTTGCAGGTTTATCCAGATTAAATGTGTCTGGTCAATTTTGGAGTGTATTTTTCTGTTCATATTAAAAATTATTTGACCATTAAAAGAGACTGGCTTCTTGTGTGAAGGTTAAAAGGTTCACTGCACAACCTCTGAATGGCCCTTCACCCAGAAACACACAGACCCATGCGCTCGATATAGAACACGAGCACGTCAGCCGGCAGACACGGGAACATGCTTAAATTAGAAAGACCTCACGGAAATATAAGCGTCCTTTTGGAAAATCAAAACACATACGGTACAGCACTGGAGCGCTTAATGGAAATGTTGACAGTAAACAGCACAAGGTGAATTTGGAGCAAATGTCATATTTATTAGTAATCCAAAGGCATATGACATAACACTGACTGCAGAGGCATAACACATATCCAGAATAAGATATCATATACAGACATCTGGAGGTATGAAGTTGGAATTTTTTCAGTGTTTGAGGAACGGTGCAAATGAGAAACATGAACACTAGAGGAAAAAACACTGGAAATGTACATAACCGTTGATGAGAATGGCTTGCGAATCTCTTTATTCCGCCTTTATGTAGTTTCGTGTGGAGACGACATCGCCAAGTGTCAATGTCTGTTAAAAAAAGAAAGAGGTTGGTCTGTTGATACAATTATTCATGCAGTCAAACACCCATAAATATTGACAAAAGTAATTACTTAAATGGGCAGCAGAACCGGTTATGCTTTTGCTGACTGTTCTTATAATTAATCTGTTCTCAGCCAAAAAGGCACTTACTGTAAATACACACAATACTGACCAGAGTGAGACTGTTTTCGCTGACTTCTCGGACCAGGGTCGTCTCTTTACCGTCCCATTTCTGAACATGAACCAATTTGCCTCCATCTAAAGTTATCATGGACTGGAGAAAAACAGAGTAAAGGGAATAAGACAAGCAGTTCTTACTTGGAATACTTGGATCTCATTTTTTTTCCTCTTGCTGCCCGGGAGCAGCGATGACTGGCGTTTCTAAGCCTACATCAATGATTGACCCGATGAATGTCACGGGACAGGTCAAGCTCTCATTGGGGCTTCTAAGAGGCTCTTGTTTGCCATCAACAAGACCCTATTGTGTTATCCAAGACTATCTTAACTGCCCAATTCATAACGTGTCAGTTGTGAAATTATCCGTGCCTTTCACAAGTCTCAAAGCACAGGACTATTGTAAGTGAGACTAATGTGTGTATCACCTTGACTGCACGGTCATCGGCAGTGGTCTCATCGAATTCCTCTCCCAGTTTGAAGTTGATTTCCGTGGTTTTGAAAGTGCTGACGGTCTTAAGTGTGAAGACGTCGCCCTCCTTGGAAATGATGGTTGTGGGTTTGGTCATACTGCCAACCTGACGCGTGGCAAAGCCCACACCTGATAAACAAACACACTTTCAGGAAAAAGTACGAAGCCGTTTCAACAATGCACATGCAGAGGAATTCACATGGACAACCTCAAGAACCAAAGATGCTTTTAAAGATTGCAATGCATCTATGTAATGTATTGTAATGAACAACAAATTCTAAAGGGTTTAATTAAAGCTCTTAAATATATTTTACGAACCAAAGTTGTTTTTAAAAATGGTCATGTACTCTAAAGAAGCTAAAAAACTAAATATTAGAATTAAAAACAATTCTAAAGTCCTTTATTTTATATATATTTTAAATATTACTATTAAAAATATGTCTAAAAAAGACAATTTATTCACAAAAATGCTAATAAGGAAAGAGCATCTGCATAGCTTACGGCCAGTATATTAATAATTAAACAAAGATCGCATTAATATTCAGTGGTTAGTCACAATTGAACACATCTCTGCAAATAACCAAACTCTGGAACGGTCAAAATGGTCAAATCATCAGCAAACATACGGGTTTAGGAGAATGCAGCAATTACTATTGATTTGTTCAGGAAATACTGCGAGGGACGGAGTATGACTGTGAACGCAGACGTGTTCTTCTTTAACCACTGATAAAGGGCAGGAAATCAGGGTTCACTGCAGTTCACTCAAGAGTAGTGCATTTGAGACCGGTTAGTAAGAAGGGAGTAAGAAAGAAAAATCCCCCAGTCTGTCTCACCCACACTTTCCTCCCTCCTTCGCTCTATTCCTTTCATACTGATGCACACTGATTGATTCACACCCACCATCTTCCTCTTTTAAGCCACAACTCACTCAACGCTACTTTATAACATACAAAATCCTATGCAACTGGCCCAAAAAAATGGCTTATTATAAAAAACACATATTTCCATATTCGTGTAACAAAATATCAAGGTCATGGAATATGCACTGAATGAGTTCAATGGCAAAATAAAGGGCTCATTTTATTTAATACAAGACAACAGCAGTTGCTCTGTATAGTCATGAATGTGGCTGTGCGTGAGAGCACGTGTGTGTGTGTGTGTGTGTGTGTAAGAGCGGTTCATCGAGAGAGACCTTCCCTGCACCATATGAACTCCATCTTAAACACACCCATGCACACACACACCAGCACACATGCACCTTGCACACACACAGTAAATCTGTCTCAGATCACCCGTCCCACTCTGAAACAATCAGAAACACACACCCAAATTACATGTGCTTACTTGCATCAAAAGGCACACACCCTACATCTAGCTGTAAAGCACACACACACACACCGACCGCACACATCCTACTCACCGAGGGCTTTCATGTACTCATCGAAATTCTTGCTCTCCTTTAAGTTCCATGTGCCAACAAAAACGTCTGCCATGTTTGGAGCTGAGTGAGAGAACAAGAGCAGAAGAATGAGAGCGAGAAAGAAAGAAGCACAGTGTGGGTGAGAGAGGAGGGTAAGACAGCACCACTGAGCTTCTGCGATCTTACTGGCCGATTTATAACTGCTGTTTGTGATGTCATCACTACAAGCCTGGGGGGTGAAAGAGGGAGGAGCAAAGCCAGAGAGAAGAGGAGAGATGAGTGACAAGCAGGGGGAGAGAGGGAGATGGGAATTGTAGGACAATCAGTTAAGAACAATAGAGTAAAGAAAGACAATGAGGTTGAGGAACTGTGCAAAATTAAAGGGATAGTTCACCCAAAAATGAACAATTTATCATCATTTACTCACCCTCATGTTGATCCAACCCTGAATGAGTTTCTTTCTTCTGTTGAACACAAAAGAAGATATTTTGAAGAATGTTGGTAGCCACGCAGTTGACGGCACCCATTGACTTCCATTGTATTTTTCTTCCTACAATGGAAGTCAATGGCTACCGTCCACTGTTTGATCACAACATTCTGATGTACAAATGATATTCATTTTGAGATGTGCTAAAAATGAAATTGTAAGTGTTTTAAAGATTAACTTTAAGTGACGGCACACGTAAATGTAAAAATAGAGGAGAAGAGCATTAATAATTAAATATCCCAAACTGATCCATATTGTTAATGTCTAATATCACTCAATACCTGTTATGATTGTGCATCATACCCTACTTAAACAATTTAAAAATGAAAAATTAATGAATTTCATTGCATTAAAAAGCAAAATAACTAACATCACACACCAGTTTCTGCAATGACTCTTAACCAAGTGGTCTAATTTTAGTGGATGTATGGAGTCACTTGCCTTTCATTTTGAACTTGCTTTGTAGTTTAAAAGAGAAATATGTTGATTGAAAATGTGGTTTGATATTTTGTCAGTTACATTTATCATTCATTCATTTAGCAGATGCTTTTATCCAAAGCAACTTATAAATGAGAAACATCACAAGTATTATCTAAAGCAAAGACATTCATTCATTTGCCTGGAGAGCGAGAGAAAGAGCGAGAGAGCACAGCGAGGAGGGGGGAGGAGTGATTGATATCGGGACCAGAGTCAGGCCATAGTCTCTCTCTCTTTTACAAACCACTGAGGACATGACCTTATGTCAGAGGACTCGCTCTTCCCAGCCTCTACACTCTTTGACTGACTGTGTTTGGCCGTTCTGCTCAGGTCGAGTCGTATCAGCTGCTGTTTGTACAATAATCACCAAATCATTGCACGAGTATCGCTAAACTTTTCCCCGGCCCGTCCTCTGAATTCACAAGTGTTTGCAAGAAAGGCTGCGCGGTCTGAAACGGGTGATTGTTTGAGCATGTGTGTGTGTGTGTGTGTGTGGAGAAGACAACAGCAAGAAGGGTCCGAATGCCAGGATTTGCACACAATAAGGTCTAGGGTTAATGCTGAACTCTTGAATTTTTTAGAGTTTGTAACGCGAGCAGCTGTTCATGAACGTTAGACATCTGGTGCACAGATGACCAACAACAGCTTTTAAGAAAAAAGCCAGGAACAGATCTGTAAAAACACCAAGAAATGCTAAATTCATGTATTTAAGAGTCTACACCCTACGGAGCCCCTAAAGGGACATGGTGATTTGCATTCTACTGAGAACTCATTTAAAAAAACAAGCGAATGCAAAGTTTCTCAGTGGAACGCACACATTTTTGAAAGAAAAAGCAAAAGTATCGATTTTTCTCCCATCCAATATGTTTCCTATGGAAGCTTGTTTCCGCCACTGAATAAAAAAATAAATACAAATAATTGCAACTTTTTATCTCACAATTGCGAGATATGAAGTCAGAATTGTGAGAAATAAAGTCGCAATTGCGATATATAAAGTCGCAATTATGAGAAATAAAGTCGCAATTGCGAGAAAAAAAGACAGAATTGCGACTTTTTATCTCACAATTCTGACTTTTTTTCTCACAATTGCGAGTTTACATCTCGCAATTCTGACTTTATAACACATAATTGCGAGTTTATATCTCGAAATTCTGACATCTTTTCTCAGAATTGTGAGATATAAACTGGCAATTGCGAGTTATCAGGCCAATTCTAAGGGGGAAAAAAGACTAACTTTTTCCCCTCAGAATAGTTTATATCTCACAATTCTGACTTTACAACACGCAATTTCGACTTTATATCAATCAATTCTGACTTTATATCTCGCAATTCTGACTTTATAACACGCAATTGCGATTTTATATCACGCAATTCTGACTTTATATCTCGCAATTCTGACTTTATATCTCGCAATTGCGACTTTATATCTCGCAATTCTGACTTTATATCTCGCAATTCTGACTTTATAACACGCAGTTGCGACTTTATATCTCGCAATTCTGACTTTATATCTCGCAATTCTGACTTTATATCACGCAATTATGACTTTATATCTCGCAATTGCGACTTTATATCACGCTATTCTGACTTTATATCTCGCAATTCTGACTTTATATCTCGCAATTGCGACTTTATATCTCGCAATTCTGACTTTATATCTCGCAATTCTGACTTTATAACACGCAGTTGCGACTTTATATCTCGCAATTCTGACTTTATATCTCGCAATTCTGACTTTATATCACGCAATTATGACTTTATATCTCGCAATTGCGACTTTATATCACGCTATTCTGACTTTATATCTCGCAATTCTGACTTTATATCTCGCAATTCTGACTTTATAACACGCAGTTGCGACTTTATATCTCGCAATTCTGACTTTATATCTCGCAATTCTGACTTTATAACACGCAATTGCGATTTTATATCACGCAATTCTGACTTTATATCTCGCATTTCTGAGAAATAAAGTCAGAATTGCGAGATGTAAACTCGCAATTGTGAGAAAAAAAGTCAGAATTGTGAGATAAAAAGTCCCAATTACCTTTTTTATTTTTCATTCTGTGGCGGAAACAAGCTTCCATAGTTTCCCCATAGTTTAAGGTCTTCATTACACCTTTTGATACAACTCAAAGAAAACTTATTAGATCTACAGTGAGAAGCTTTTGGGTAACGAAAATAAAACTGAAATGAAATTTAAATAAATATTAGATTTAAAAAAATGTATGTTGCCTTTGTAACTAAATAAATGAAATAAATATATTGAAGTTGAAGTGCTACAAGTGCATAACCTGAAAAAATATAATAAAACTAAATAAATTAAAGATTAAACTCTTCAAAATAAAGGTTCTTGCATCTATGATTCCATGAAGAACCTTTAACATTCATAGATCCTTTTCATTGCACAAAAGTTTCTTTACAGTGGAAAAGGTTCTTAAGATTATTAAAAGGTTCTTCACACTAGGAAAAAAAATGTTATTTTAAAGAAAGGTTTATTGAAAGGTACTTTAGGGAATTAAAACAAAAGGTTTTTCTATGGCATCACTGCTAACATTTTTTGGACCCTTTATTTATAGGAGTGTAACAAAATGAATAAAAATTCTTAAACCAGAAATTTAAATTAAAAATTGAACAAAAAATAAAAGGTCATTCAAAATAAAGTATATATCGAATACTAAAATAGCTATTTTAACAACAACTACATACAATCTACAGAACCCAGTTCGTTTATTTAAAGGATTGCTTGCTGGAAATGTTCTAGGATTCATTTGTCCTCATCAATGGGAACATGATGTGAAATGAACAAACATTTAAACTTGCATCTGTTTGAGCATGTACAAATACACACAGACACACACCCTTCTCTTTCACCTCTCCCAGATATTTATATTTCATTATCTTTACAGCTATCATAAAATTCCCTTTCTAATCTGCTCATTATTGTCAACTAACTTTGAACAATTACAGCTGAATTGTATTATAACTGCAAGATAAATCTCCCATAAATTGTAGCTATTGCAGGTGTGTCCTGTCACGGTGATAGCATTCAGATGGTGTGTTATAAATATTGTTATGCTCCAAAACAAAAAGTGAAGAACTTTGGTAATTTATAGTTAAAATTCCATCTAAAATACCCAAAAGTATTAGAGTAATATTATCGTGATCTAAATGCATCACTGAAATTAATTATTAAGGGATAGTTCATCAAAAAAAAATTTCTCATCATTTACTCGCCCTCAAGTTGTTTCAAACCTGTATGAAGTGCTGAACACAAAAGTAGATAATGTTGAAGAATGTCGGAAACCAAACAGTTGATGGGGTTTTTTTTTCTATGGAAGTCAATGGGGTCCAACATTCTTCAAAATACCTTCTTTAGTGTTCAACAGAAGAAAGAAACTCATACAGGTTTGGAACAACTTGAGGGTGAGTAAATAGGCTAAATAAGTATTCCAGTTGAAAAAGCAAAGACAATTTGTACTTCACTAACAGTTTAGTACTCCTGCTCTCCCGGTTTCTCACATTGACGTTGGAAGCTTGTATTATACACATGCAAACTACATGTTGTGAAATACAGTTCAGTTCTCTTAAAGAGATTGATGATATAACCGTGTGTGTTGTAACACCCATCTTCTGGAATGATTTATAATATGTGGGTTTTATATTCTCAGTATTTGAACACTCACACACAGTTGACTGCCATGTGTCTGCCAACACAAATGTGTGACTAAACATGGTATGCATGCAGAGTTCATGTGTTTGACGTTTGACACGAACAGGTGGTGGAGAGAGAGAGAGAGAGAGAGAGAGAGAGAGAGAGAGAGAGAGAGAGAGAGAGAGAGAGAGAAGACCCCTTTTACTCAGGTCATGAAATCAAAGTCCAAGTCTCAAACACACAAAACACAGGTCACAAATTCTGCCATTAGTACCAACATGTCTTGTTGGCATGTAGTTAGAGTCTGGTCAGTAGCATTTATGTAATCATCAATAATCAAAATAATATTTTGCATTCATGTCTTTAACATGGGGGTCTGCTAATTGTTAATAACTATGACAAATAAAAACAAGCATTAAGCAAAATACAATGTTCGCCTCAGTCAATTATTCTGGTCCACGTTTTAGAAGATCTGTCGAGTTGAGGTTCGTCACGTGCATCACAAATGTCGTGTAGCGCCCAGCACAAGCTAACCGTCTAATATCTTAAAGACGTTTACGTGTATTTATGAAGTGTAAATCTATAATGTAAGTGATATAAAAAGATAGTACTTACTCATTCATTGTCCGATACTGAATGGAAATCGCTCGCGCGTGTATTGTTGGTATGGTTATTGGTTCACGTCACGCGAACAAAAAAAAAAATACAAAAATGGTCTCTGGGGCGGTACCCTTTCAAAAAGAAATCTTCTTAATTGTACCTTAATTAGCTCTAAAAAGTTGCATATTAGTACCTTAAATGCATATTAGTAGGCCTACCTGAAGTGTACATATTAGTACCTAAATGGTACATATATTAGTACAAATGCTAGGCTACTGCCCGAGTGACGACTTTTGTACCATTTTTTCTGAATGTAGGCCTATTAATGAGCAATTGTACTAACTTAAATTTAATCTATTATGTAACGTTCTGTTAAATGTTTCATCATTGTCCCTCCAAATATTAAAATGCATTATGTAAATTCAAATGTAACGCACAAGTAGGCCTATGTGACTATGATCAGCATAGCAAAATAAATACAATTTATAAAAGGATAGTTCCGGTCCTTGATTCTGATTGGTTCCTTTGGTTGAGCCGCGTTCAAGAGCCGTTGTAAATAAACCTGTTACATAGTTACTTTTTAGGGAAAGTAATGCGTTACGTTACGTTACTTTTGTGTTACTTTTTCTCACCTGCAGGGCTTGTTTTTGTTTTATAACTAAAAATATATTTTGGGGCGACTGGAAGGACCTATCACACTAAAATTGAAATAATAAGGCTGAAGGAAATGCAAATTCACACCGTTGAGGGCTCTGGTCAAACAAACCTCGCTGTGCTGCCATTCTGGATCGCAGAAGAATAAGACGCAGGAGAAGAAACTTTAAGAAAGCTTAAAAATCTAAAGTCATTATTTGCTTATGGTTTAAATGAATCATCGAAGGTCAGCAACAAGTAGGCCTACATTGGTCAATAAAGTGAGTATAAATGCATTCAAAATATTTGTTTTATCTAACATATTTAGCCTAATTATTGGAGGTTTGCATAGTATTCTGATTTTGCATTTCACAGATTTTTTTTATTTTTTTTATTTTTTTAGTACTAGCCTACTGAAACTTTTTTTGTGCAAGTGAGATAAGTACATGCATGCTCATTTAGTCTAGATCTACAGTAACCATCATGTTCCCACACACAACGCCTCTGCACTTACTCCCTTGGGGACAGGAGAGCTGTCAGTCAGTAAATGGGAAAACAAAGTAACTTGCGTTACTTATTTGAAAAAGTAACTCAGATGTTTTGTTGTAAATTTAAAAGTAAATGAAGTTACTTGTAATGCGTTACCCCCACACTGGAGACAAAATTGTTGAAAATAACAGCGATAATAAGGTAACAAGTCGCTCTGCATGAAATGCTTGTCTGACTCTTTTTTTCTCATATGGGGGCCTCCAACTGTTTCTTTGAAACGGGCCTCCGAATTGCAAAGGCTGCCTCTGGCAACAGCCAAAGACTATAGATAAAGCACAGCACAGCCATTTTTACACATAAACATAGCATTTTTTTTTTTTTTTTTAAATAAAAAATATACAGAATACAATAGTAAGTGTTAGTTTTAATGGGTCAAGTGTCGTATAAAGCCAAACTGTTCTAAATTCACTGTAAACCACGACTTCTTGTGCTTGTTTTGTCGCCGAGTTAGCGTGCACTAGGAAAAACCTATTAAACCGAGTCTGCCCATCACCCAAAGCTCCTCCATACCCCACTACCGTCTAACACACACTGCCCTCTAATGGACACATTTACACAACCCATCTACAGCTGCACACACACACTCACACACACACACAGCAAAGGCCAGCAAAGCTATCCTAACGCAAACATAGACACAAAGCAGGACTTCTGTGTTAACAGTAACCATGGTAATACAGCCATACTGGGAGACCTACGAAGACAAAGTGAAAAGTGTCGGGAAGTTCAATTATATCTTAAACCACTAAAGACGGCAACGAATAAAGGGGTGAGTGCGTGAAATAATAAGGCAGAGAATATGGGAAAGAGGGGAAAAAAGTATTTTATTAAATTCATCTGAATGAATTTCTGTCAATGTACACAATTCACCAATAATGGCAATGACTGAAATATTCACAAACAGATCCTCAACATCATATTCATAGACATCATACTCTTTCTCAATCTCATTCCTTCTGCCGTGGCAGGAAGAACAAAAAGAGCAAATTAAAAGGTGCCAGTAATGCCAATAAAATGGCAATATATTTGTTAAATATGCATACAAGAATAATAAATACATTTTATTTATTAAACAAAAATGGCTAGTTACACTAATTAAAAATAATTTTTAATTAGTATTTTTTTTAATAATAGTCTAACTGTGTTCAAGTTTAGCTATCATCAAAATTGGGGTCATAAATTGGCCACATTGTTCTTAATGATTTCTATTGGACGGCTGCTATATGAAAACTGTGGAAGTGTATGACATGGCCTTCTCAATAGTCAAACAGACCTCTCTCTTTGTGTGTGTGTGTGTGTGTGTGTGTGTGTGTGTGTGTGTTTCAGCTCTCTGTGTGTTACCGGGGAGACGCGCTTGCAGGATGCGGAGTATCCGGTAACGCGCTCGTAGCTTTTCCAAAAGATGCGTGTTCTCGATATCCCCATGTTACCTCATGTCTGACTGAACACTGGCTGTGTGCGCGTGTCCGATTCACTGTGCTTTAAATTCAGCGCTGTTTTAAACTTTCGCGATTCCTCAAGGACACTGATAAGCTTGTTTAGAGGTGCGCGTTGATTTCATCATGGTTACAGACCTTTTGACCGTGTTGTAACGCCGCCGGACATCTGGGACAGTATGAGCAGTGAATCAGACTCACGGGTTTATATCTGCATAAACACTGATGAAACTGCGAGCAGGGGAACAGAATGACACCGGTGTGGAACCAGCGACCGGGGCGAGAGCCACCGAGACCCAGATGGGGACTGACAGGCGAGTTCAAAGGATTCATTAATAAATACATTAAGAGAATAGGACAATGACTAAAAGTTTAACGGTCAATTAACCGGTCCACATTTGCAGAATCTCCGTAACGAGTATCCTATTAGGCTATGTCGCAATGATTCATATGATGAATAAACAAACTAAATAATATGATATATTACGTAGATAAATAACATTATTGATATAATATTCTAATATGTTATTAATAAATGTAGATTTTTGCAACCATGAAAGCAATTAATTAAAATTAAACGTAATTAAGTTTAAAAATAACTTTAGTTTTATTCATACATAGTATAGGTAGCTGGTTTCACAGTGGCTTTTCTTTGGTAACAGTTCTTTCAAAAGATCTTTCTGTGACTTAAAAGTGAAACAGCATCTTTGAGTGTTTTTGGTGTTCAATTTCTTAATGCCTCCTGCATCCTTCCACTTAAAGACGTCAGACATGTGTTTAGTGCATGCGTGGAAAGAAAGAAAGAAAGAAAGAAAGAAAGAAAGAAAGAAAGAAAGAAAGAAAGAAAGAAAGAAAGAAAACAAGCTGCGCAAGCTGAGTAAAGTGATCCGACATGATCAGATTTGATCCTTTTCCGTTACCCCTGGAGCATGTGGTGCAATTTGAGAATCTGCATGTCTCGGCATTGCTCCTCAATACACACCTGCTCTCAATTATTAATGTTGCACACTTCCTCTTTAATTCGCCTGTATAAGCTTTTTTATTTCTCCTCCAAAATCTGACCGAGCAATTTCAAATGTGCTGCGTTTTTGATGAACAAAGCATATCTTTGGACGAGTTGCTCTACTAACAAAAAAAAAAAATCAAATTGTATCCTAACAACACATGTTTGTGTTCCAGATCAAAGGATTAAACTGCCCAAATGCCCAAATGTTGCCCCTCGGCAGCCTCTTCCCTCTTACCTGCACAGATCCAGACCCCGAAGACCCCTGACAGACTTTGGGCCTTCAGAAAGCCCTGTGTGTCATTGGGAAGAAGCAGGAGTGTCCAGAGCGAGTGGTTATCATGCCCGGCACGCAGAATCAAGCCCTGTGCGCCCGCGGATCGTGAGCGTGGTGCGAGCGTGTGGACAGGACAGCGTGAGGAAGATCTCGCTGCTGTTGAACCGGCGCGCCGTGCAGACGTTCGAGCAGCTCGTGGCAGATGTGTCCGAGGCGCTGGGCTTCCCCTGCTGGAACAACGCTCGAATACGACGTCTCTTTAGCCCTTCTGGCCGAGAGATACAAAGCCTCACTGACTTCTTCCGCTTCGATCAGGCCTTCCTGGCTTTCGGGAACACCCGGCCGTCGCTTGAGGATATCAGTGCAGCTCTGGATGAGCTCTATCCCGAAAACCCTGCGCACTGCGAACACTTGCTGAGGGTGTGGGAGCGTATCCTGAGACCCAAGGCCACTAAAGCTGACAGTGGTTTCCATGATGACGATCCTGAGGTGTCCTTACCTGCGGTGCGGCGGGATCATCAGGTGAACCAACCACCGGTCAACAACCTGCAGCCTGTTGGAAGGCAAAAGGTGAAGAGAGAAAGGCAAAGAGAACTATGGAGGAGGAAAGCTGACCTGCTGAAGGAAGATGAGAAGGAGCCGAGGAAAGAGGAAAGAAAAAGAGACGCTGTTTTCTGCCGGAGCTGTCGAGGATGCGTCCCTCCTATTCCTCCAATCAGAAGCAGTCGAAGTTCTCAACCGGACAGGACGAATAACCCCAGTAATAAAAGTAGTACATCTCAAAACAATATGGTTTCTTTGGACAAAGCACAGCATAGACCGCTGAAAGCAGATAAGCATGTTGCCAATAGCAAATCTAGCCCTTCTGTTCCTCAAAACGCTCTTAACTTAATGATAACTGAGCGGGACATTAATAAGCAGGACACAGTGGAGCAGAAAGACTTGCAGGGTAACGTCCCACCTGACGGTGCAGAACTATCTCTGGAGGACATCGAGCGCTGCTACGACATGGGTCGTGTGGTGGGAGACGGGAACTTTGCGGTGGTCAGAGAGTGCCGTGTGAAAGGCCTGGATGAAACCTTCGCCATGAAGATTGTGGACAACGCTAAGCTGCAGGGACGCGGTCACATGATCCAGAACGAGATCGCTCTGCTGCGAAGTCTGGAACATCCTCGGCTCATCCAGCTGTTTCGTTCCCATCACACGGACACACACGTTTACCTGCTGATGGAGCTGGTCACCGGTGGAGATCTGTTCGACGCCATCACTCAGAGCGGCAGGTTTACTGAGCCGAGAGCTGCGTGCATGATCACAGATGTCAGTCAGGCTCTGGAATACATCCACGACAAAAGCATTGCACATCGAGACATCAAACCTGAAAACCTGCTGGTAAGAGATGAGAGTTACTCAAATTCAGTCTTAACCAAGGACGATAATGATACAGTTTTTAAAAAATCATTAAAGGGCCTTGCACACTGAGTCTGAAATTTTCGCACGTTAAAAAATAAATACGACCTCACGTTATGTCAATCACGCTTGCACACTGCCTCCGAAACTTTGGTCCGTCATAAAAAAAATCGAATCAGGTTCGATTTTCTGCGTTTTTCGCATCCGTAGCGAGCAGTTTGAATGGTGTTTTGACAATTCCGAGCCACCGAATCACGAATACGAAAAAACGCATGCGAAAATTTTTGACTCAGTGTGCAAGGGCCTTAAAGAAGAATGGCAGAGTCCACACCACAATAACGATAACGGCACAGAGAAACAATATCGTTGGAATCACTTACAGAACATTTCTTCCAGCTGATAAATGATAAAAACATTGACAGCCAATCAGAATCCACCCTGCTTTAAAGAGCTCGAGCATTCAACAGACTGTTATTGGCCCTGTCCCAAATGGCTCACTTAATGCGGACTTTCGGTCTCGTGGACTTAAATTGCGCGTGCTCGCCGAGTCTACGAGTCTGTAGGCCGTCCCATTTGGCATTTTAACGCTCTGAAGTGTGCTCAGCAGCGCCCCCTTTGTACCCTTGAAGCGGTCTTTTTGCGAAGCCCGCATATATGCAGGCTCCACGCACTTTAACTACCCAGGAATCCTTGCGAAAGGCAAATCAGACAACGGATGGGAGGAGATTTCGCTCACGGACAATTGTTAACATGGCTGAGAAGAAAATATTTAAGTGTAATTAGCATTACGTTTTTTTATGACAAGTTTATACAAACATTATGATCATCGACCAGTGGTTGATGTCTCAAACATAGGCTAATAATAGCGAGCTGAATAATACGATCGCATTATGATTCATTAAATAAATAGAACTGAATGTCATGGCTTTACTGAGTCATATGTAAACACAACAACAATAGGCAGCATATTTCCCCGAACCTGCAGCTCCTGTCCATAACAACAATCAGACCGTCTTCCTGTTTCTGGCGTGCCGATCGAGTCTGTCCCAAAAATACCTCTCAATGCGCCCTCGCGGACTCGCGCTAAGGGCCCTATAGGTCTGCACTACATGACGTCACCGAAGTGTGGACTCTGAGGAAGTCCAAACAAGTCCGGAGTGTGCCATTTGGGACAGGGCCATTGTCCGCTTGTGTGGACGCTGCAGTTTTGTGTCCTGTCTCTTTAAATGCGGGTGCTCTTTAAAGCAGGATGGATTCTGATTGGCTGCCAATGTTTATATCTTTCATCAGCTGGAAAGAAAATCGTTTTGAAAACGATTCCAAATACATTGTTCCTCTGTGTCGGTATCATTATAGTTGTGGTGTAGACACCGCTATTCTTTCAATTTAGAACGATTTTTAAAACAAAATCTTTATAGTTATTGTTATAGTTATCTATATTCCGTTTTAGTCATTTGTATTATTTTTTTATTTCTATACATAACTTTAATTATTTTTTATTTCAGCTTTCATTCTAGTCACTCAACTTAAAATCATATTAAATGTATTAATTTCAGTTTTTCAAAATTTCTAATTTTAGTTTTTCATCTAAAATGTATATGTTATTTTATTTCAGCTTAATTTAAATCACTGGAAATGTTTTTTTTTATAGTTTTAGTTATAAATGTTAAGCATTATTTCATAGATTTTTAAAATTTTTGAATATAACCAAATAATATAACATTACTACTAAATACAACAATGTTTACTTAAATGAGTGAAAAACATAATACAGGGAACAGGAACAGGAGAATAGTTATTAATCTGTTTATTTACATAAAACATCCGAACGAACCAATTCAATAGAATGAATCGGATTTCCAACACTACAAATGAAGACCGGTGAAGACGAACCGATCTTAAACAGATCCATTACAACAGATTCAGTAGCAGTAGGCTACCTTGCAATCACTTAGTATTGTATTGGACATGCATTTAAAAACAGTGAACAATACAACATCCAGCTAATATTATCTCTTTTCTTTCTTTTTTTTTCTGATTATAGGTACAGCGGCATGGCAATGGAAGTCTGAATCTGAAGTTGGCAGATTTTGGCTTAGCCATGGTGGTGACGGAGCCAGTGTTCACAGTTTGTGGCACACCTACATATGTTGCTCCAGAGATACTTGCTGAGACAGGTAAAGTCTGAAACACAAAAATTGGACACAAAAAACCTGAGCTACAGCTCTGTGATCAGCTATGCATGTCTATGTCTATATTTGAATAGGTTACGGTGTTGGAGTAGATGTTTGGGCGATGGGTGTTATACTGTTTGTGCTGCTCAGTGGCTTTCCTCCGTTCCGCAGTCCAGATCGCAATCAAGAGGAACTATTCCGTCTCATCCAGAAGGGAGAAGTCCACTTTCTGTCCCCTTACTGGGATAACGTGTCCGAGGGTGAGATCTTGAACTCCAACATTTGACCCCCTACAAAATTAAAAAGAGATTTAAAGGGTTAGTTCACCCCAAAATGAAAATTCTGTCAGTAATTACTCTCCCTCATGTTGCTCCAACCCCGTAAGACTTTCGTTCATCTTCGGAACACAAATTAAGATATTTTTGATTAAATCTGAGAGCCGTCTCACTCCTCCATAGGCTTCTTAAGGGATCGAAACTGGGCGGCCCAAAAGTTATTAAAAACATCGTTAAAATAGTCAGAGTGACTGCAGTGGCTCAATCTTTATCACAGTTTATCAAGCGACGAGAATACTTTTTGCGCAAAAAACAAACAAAAATAACGACTTTATTCAACTGTTAATTTCCTTCTCTGTTGGCCTCGAGATAGTTCACGTAGTGAAACTGCGCAGCGCTTCTGTGTTGTACGTCACACGCAGGCTCACTATTGGCCGACGCCGGTCATGTGTGTGATGCGTGTGACGTACAACCTAGAACCGTTGCGCTAGCCTGGCATGCCAGACCTACATCAGGATGTTAGGTCTGGGAACTCACCATTGGCATTCCTCAATCCGGGGGGCGGGATAAACAGTTCCTCTTTCACAATCCCTCTGCACGAAATAGGATAGCGCCACAGCCAACCAGAGCAATGAACGGTTGTGGATGAGTGAGTCCCATGCGTTTTCCCACCAGGGTATCCGGTCGTCAAAACTCTGAACACATCTTACTTTTTTAAGAATGACTTCACGTTCTCTTAACTCCAAGTCCTCCAGAGTCGCGGCCAAACCCTTTTTGAAAGACCGCTGTTCGCCAGCAGCAGCAGCATCTTTGTTTTCAAGTAGCACGCGGAACCGTCACAACTCTGCCGTCATTATGTTAAGCCCGCCCACCAACTGTATACACGATGTGATTGGCCTGACTAGAGTTTGTTTTTTCCAGCTGGAAAGCCAACGGAGAGTTGCTAGTCTCTAGGGGGAGTCTAGATTTCTAGGCTACTGTTGCGCAGTTTCACTACGTGAATTATCTCGAGGCCAACAGAGAAGGAAATGAACAGTTGAATAAAGTCGTTATTTTTGTTTGTTTTTTTGCGCACAAAAAGTATTCTCGCGCTTGATAAACTTAAGATTGAGCCACTGTAGTCACTCGGACTATTTTAACGATGTCTTTCATAACTTTTGGGCCGGCAAGTTTCAATCCCTTAGAAGCCTATGGAAGAGTGAGACAGCTCTCAGATTTAATCAAAAATATCTTAATTTGTGTTCCGAAGATGAACGAAAGTCTTACGGGGTTGGAACAACATGAGGGTGAGTAATTTGCCTTTGGCTAAGCCCCGCCCCCCTTAGTTACTGTTGCTACGTCCGTCAAACAAACTTCATCTGGGCTCTGGTATCAACATGGCTTATGCTGTGACAGCTCTTCCTGCTGAAATTTTATCAAACTTTTATAAAGCAGGCGCAGCAAATAAAGTGTCCGATAGAAGTAGGCAAAAGGGGCTGCAATATACGTTCGAAGGCTATATTCACGACATGCAGGTGAAACGCAAGGAAAAACAAGGCATCCAAATAGAGGCAAAAGCAAACCGGTCACAGTCAAAAAATGAACCACCGCATATCCTACTAATCGAGACGGAGGCTGGGACTAACAATATCTGTTCATGCAAAGCTGGGTAGGTCTCTATTCACTTCTATAATCGTTATTACAAAGCAAACGGACTACACGAGTATAACGTTGTATTTATCAGCAGCGTGTGCTAGACGACACTTGTCAGGATTTGACTTCGGTTTGGGAAGGGAAAAAAACGGACACCCCCCTCCAACCTCTCTGGGAAACGCGTATCTTTGTTACAAATGCCCCAGGCACAACGTTTAACCATATTTTTGATAAAACTACGACGGTATAATAGCCTGCCGAGACCAAAAATATGAGACGCCTGTGTTAAAGTCAATGGAGCGCTGTGAAAAAGTGTCGGACCTCTGTGGGAGCTCGTTCTTGGCTGCGCTGTGATTGGTCAATCTACATTCTAGGGTGTGGCTTAGCCAAAGGCGAATTACTGACAGAATTTTCATTTTGGGGTGAACTATCCCTTTAAGTGTTCGTTCACCCCAAAATGAAAAAGCTGTTTTACTCATTTACTCAACCTCATGCTGTTTCAAACTCGTATCATGTTCTTTCTCCAAAGATGCTCCATTCGTGCACTATATTCTCAGGTGGAGTAAATGAGAGAATTTTGGGTTGAAACGTTCCTGTAAACCCTTCAGATCTGCTGTAATTTAGATGCTGTGATGACAGGTGTTGATGTCTGTGTTTTCCAGGGGCTAAAGCTCTAGTCAGGGCTCTGCTGGAGGTCAACCCGAATAGACGTTTGACAGCAAGTCAAACCCTGCAGCAGGACTGGCTTCAACATGCAGCAGCACAACACGACCATAAGGGGGCGGCAAAGGCCACTTACACCCCAGCTGACAGGCAGAGACTAAACAGACATCTGGAAATTAATAAGAGAGATTCTCACAAACCAGAGATGTTGGCAGAGAAATTTCATGCAGCACAAATTCACGAGAACATACTGAACAATAACTATGAACCGGATATCAACGCACATGGCAGAAACCAGGAGATTGAAGAGATTCAAAACATGATGAGCAACCAATATTCATCCCATGCCGAAGACACCACAACAAACATTAAAAACAACACAGATCAGCACGTACCCGAGAAACCAGCACAGCAAGAAGATAATGACTCAAAACAAGAGTGAGAAATGAGGTAAAGGGTAGTGAAGCCAGCATGAACAACTGACTAGAAGAAACTAATGATATATGAAGAGACCAAAAGAGTCCGGACAACACAGGCCATGTGAATGTGAAAAAGAGGGACGGTACGACTTGCAAAATTTAACACCATGATACAAAAACATTTAGTGTCTTCTCTCTCTCTCTCTCAACCTACACACAGACTCCAAGCACTGATACTGACAGAAAGTTCGCCGTTTTTTTGACCAGGCCCCGGTGAAATCGGCACTGGTTTCCACATTTCTGCACTCAAGGAAGGGTAGGCATTTTGTTTTATAAACACTTTTTGTTATACTGGTTGAAACTCTCTTCAAATCCTGATAGCAATCCATAATAGTGGTCTCAATATGAAAACATGTACGTATATCTTCTGTGGAAGTCTCAGGACCAAAACATGTTCATCCAATCATTGCATTCGGTCCGAATCTTATGCTTTCAAAGCTAGCTTGCTATTACTAGCCACTCAGAAATTGCCTACTCTACCGTTAAATGAGTGCACTCTTATTGATATAATTCTCTTGTTATAAAACAGTTATCTTGTATAATCCAATATTTAAAAAAACAAATACGAATTCAGTGTTTATTCTGTGTGGGCCTACAGGTCACTAATGAAATAACCCAGGACATTATTACACATTATTATTATTATTATTATTATTATTATGAGATTATTTACTGACGAGAAAGAAGGGCTATTTATGTTTTATTTTAATGTTGTTTTTCTATGTGCGAGCCTCTAGTTATTTTACATTTTCTTCTTGATCTGTGTCTAAAAGAGAGACTGCATAAAAGAAACTGTAAAAAAAAAGAAACATTTCAATAAGGAAGGACTAGTTTTGTATCAGTATCAGTCAAGCTCGGCCTCTATTACTACTTGAGTGCCAATGTGTGTTGAAATGTTAGTTGGGCAGACTAGCTAGCAATAAGCTAAAAGTATTAAGTATTGTTTGTCTTCCCGTGTTTCGTTTCATAGCACGTCATTTTTCAGCATTTTCTGTTAAAGTTATTTTTGTTAATGTTATTATGAGTACTGTGTAAATGTTTTAGACTGTAGGATAATACAATTAAACTTTACTAGCTGTTCGGCTACACGTTTCTATAATTTGGTCAGTAAAATACTGTTTTTAATATGATAAAATGTCTATTAATCTTTGTTTGGTTGACGTTTTAATTTCGTTTCTCTGTAATTACAAAATTCCACACTTTTATAAGACATATAAGGCATTTAAAGTATCACCAAAAACTAATAATTGTAATTCAGATTTTTAGAAGACTAATGCATACAACTAATATTAATATTTTTGTTGACAGAACAGGCAGTTATCAACCTATATAACCAGCCTGTTCTGGCTGAAGCACATATGATGATAATTACTCATGATTACTAATGATAATCAATAAATACATTTTCATTATCATCATCATTATGGTAAGATCTGAAATACCAAGTGTTCAGAGGTAATAATTAATGAAGAAAGCCCTTGTCCTTGTCAGGTGACTTTATTCCTTCAACCTTCATTGTAAATTTGGTATATTTTAAGTGTACTTTTACACAGGTATGTATGTGCATAAAAACACTATTAATCTCAGCGTAATTAATACCTTCTTTATTACATTGTTATATGCACATTTTATAATATATACTTTATAGTAGGCTATTCAGTATATAATCAGGAAACACACACCCATCCCCCCATTCAACACAAAGCTTGTTCAGGTTGGGGAAACTAGACTGACAGCTGTCTTGCCCAAACCAGTCCGTCATAAACCGCGACATTTGATTGGCTGAGGGCATTTCCCCTCCCCCAGGGGTCACTCTGGTACCGGGTCAAAAAAAAAAAAAAAAATCACTTCAAAAGGTGAAACAAATTAAAAGAGATTATAAAGCAGTTTAAAACGTGTAACATGTTTTTAAAAACCTATGTATCACATAAAAAAAAATGGATTCTTCCATTTATTATTCTGTCAAGTATAATAATTTAGATGAATGACAACCCACGATGACGTTGCCATTTTGTCGCATATGAGGAGTGTTATGGGATTTTGACCATGGTATGAAAAGGTTTGCTCACCTTTTTACTCTTTCTTTGTACTATAATCGCCATGACAATAATGCGACAAACTAGCACAATAAAATATAAACAAATCTACTAACAAAACCAAGCACCACACTATCCAAATTACAAAAGTTTTTGATCACCTTTCTCTAAAAAAAAAAAGAAAAAAAAAAAGAAAAGCTTCAGCCGTGACCCGCAGGAGGCCGGTGCGCATGCGCAAAGCATAGCTCTTTAAATATCCCCAGTCATCTGATGAAGCACAACATTTGTTGCAGCCAATCAGGAAGCGCGAATGAGAAGGGCCGAGCGGCCATCTTTGCTAGTGGCAACGCATTCACTGACAGTTCAATAACGGATGACAGAATTCGCTTGTTCTTCAGCTCGCTCTGAGTAAACCGACCTCGGATTGGCAGAATCAGAAAGGGACAAGCGGACAGGGGCAGAGGAGGAGACAGTCAGGAAAAAAACAAAGATGGCAGTGTAGATTAAGGGAAGGACTATCGAAGAGACTCTGCAGCAAACTGATAACTTATAGGCTTTCGGGAGAATCCGGATCGTGTCGGAGTGGCTCGGTTGTGATCGGAAGGTGTACCGGAGGGAAAGAGCCCGGCCCGGTCGCAGAGAGTCGCCGTGTGCGTGCTGTCACGGCGGATAACGGACCTAAACAACAGCCTGTTGTTTTGTTGAGTCTTAGCTGTTTTTTTTCCTCTCTCTCTCTCTCTCTTCACAAGCTGAGAGCCGAAGCTTACCTGAGATCTATCCAAAAAAATTTATAGGCATCCATGCAGGCCAAACCGCTGTAAAACACAGATGAAATTATATCCACTGTCCCTTTACCTAGTGTCATATTACCCAAAATTAGCCTATTTGAACTGACGTTTGATGGTTTACAAGTGAGTGCATTGTTAGCTATCCAGACCCCCCATCATTAAAGGCCAACTACCTGGAAAAAGCTGAAAATCTCACCCTGACATTCAGCGGATCCTGTGCTCAGTCAGCCCAAATACCCCTCGTGACTCATTCGGATGTCTTCGATGGAAGAGCGGATGGAATTAGGCGTCGCGGCCGCCCCGGGCTCCTCATCTTCGGGACTGGGTGTCGGTCCTGTGGGGGGTGTCCTGGATGCGGGTCCGGGGAGCGCAGGACTGGCCGGTATCCAGGAGGAGTCCGGTGTGCGGAGAGACGGTCCTGGTTCCGAGGCCGACCCGGACGCACCGCCTAAGAAGCGCATGAGGCACCAGGAAGGAGAGGCGGGGAAGCTCGAGGAGCGCCTGTACTCGGTGCTCTGCTGCACGGTGTGCCTGGACCTGCCTAAAGCCTCGGTGTACCAGGTAAACAAAGCCATTATGGAGACTTACAATGCAGAGAAATCTGTATGCATGACGTATATACCATAAACATAATGCAGATATCAAAGTACACAACACGGCATCCTCTTGGAATGCAAGAGATATTAGAAAGATACAGCCTGTTATTATAGATATGACACAAAGGGGGGTATCTTTTTGTCATTGTGATTGTTTGTCTATTGTATTTCCATATAATACAGCTGATTGCACACTGTCTGTGACTCATAATGTGTGTGGAAAAAAATATGTCTAATAAAATGCACATATATGCCATTCCAGGTACATGTTTTTTTTTTTTTTAAGAGCAGGTATGATGATATTTTCGAAGGTTTCAGATTCTACACTTCACGTGATACAGACCTGAGCAGCTGTTTTCTGCCTTTAAAGGCCAGCATGACAATCAGGGTGGTCACATGACCCGTTTAACCCAATCACTGCTGGCCTCTTCTGATCACCCCTCCCCCAAATATGCACCCCATATAATCCCTCTGAAGCCACAGGCTAAACCAGCTGTAAAAGAACTTCCTCTCATGTTTTCACACACTTTGTTCACATGTGCTGGCGTTTTCGGTTTGCATACCCACGTTTACTTTTTTACAAGTGTCCATTTAATGACTTAATTAATAAATAATAATTGGATAAATCCACACTAGAGTGGTCATTTTGTTTGCGTGTCTTGCTGAAACTAGAGGAAGTAATAGACACACATAACACAGATAATGAGAACACTGACATCCTCTCACTTTGAGCCCATGTGATTGAGTGTCAGACTCAGAGCGCATCAGTGCTGTTAAACCGTGTTAAACTCATGCCATGTAATCTGTTTATTACAGAATCAGGGGTTGAATCCTATCAAATGAGACGAACATGTGCAAGTCCAGGAGCAAAACAAACAAGCCAGGGAGAAAAAAAATCACCTACCGACTGAATTAATCACAGACTTAACCTCCAGTGAAACGGATCTGCTGGGGAATCAGTTAACCAGTAACAGAATTATTCAAATGAAACCTTGAACTAATCTTAAAACGAGAATATTGCATCAGTGTTATTATTGTGAATGTGAACTAAAACTAAATCTATTCAAATAAGCTCTGTCAATTCAAATAAAGATTAAATAAGAAAAACACACAATTTTATATGAAATACCAACAAAATTGAAATGTTGCTTTGGCAAATAGCCGAAATAAAACAAGTTGAGGTACTCACAATTATTAAAACTACAAGACAAAATTAATTCATATATACACTCACCGGCCACTTTATTAGGTACCCCATGCTAGTAACGGGTTGGACCCCCTTTTGCCTTCAGAACTGCCTCAATTCTTCGTGGCATAGATTCAACAAGGTGCTGGAAGCATTCCTCAGGGAGTTTGGTCCATATTGACATGATGGCATCACACAGTTGCCGCAGATTTGTCGGCTGCACATCCATGATGCGAATCTCCCGTTCCACCACATCCCAAAGATGCTCTATTGGGTTGAGATCTGGTGACTGTGGAGGCCATTTTAGTACAGTGAACTCATTGTCATGTTCAAGAAACCAATTTGAAATGATTAGAGCTTTGTGACATGGTGGAAGTAGCCATCAGAGGATGGGTACATGGTGGCCATAAAGGGATGGACATGGTCAGAAACAATGCTCAGGTAGGCCGTGGCATTTAAACGATGCCCAATTGGCACTAAGGGGCCTAAAGTGTGCCAGGAAAACATCCCCCACACCATTACAGCACCACCACCAGCCTGCACAGTGGTAACAAGGCATGATGGTTCCATGTTCTCATTCTGTTTACGCCAAATTCTGACTCTAACATCTGAATGTCTCAACAGAAATCGAGACTCATCAGACCAGGCAACATTTTTCCAGTCTTCAACTGTTCAATTTTGGTGAGCTCTTGCAAATTGTAGCCTCTTTTTCCTATTTGTAGTGGAGATGAGTGGTACCCGGTGGGGTCTTCTGCTGTTGTAGCCCATCCGCCTCAAGGTTGTGCGTGTTGTGGCTTCACAAATGCTTTGCTGCATACCTCGGTTGTAACGAGTGGTTATTTCAGTCACTGTTGCCCTTCTATCAGCTCGAACCAGTCTGGCCATTCTCCTCTGACCTCTGGCATCAACAAGGCATTTCCGCCCACAGAACTGCCGCTCACTGGATGTTTTTTCTTTTTCGGACCATTCTCTGTAAACCCTAGAGATGGTTGTGCGTGAAAATCCCAGTAGATTAGCAGTTTCTGAAATACTCAGACCAGCCCTTCTGGCACCAACAATCATGCCACGTTCAAAGTCACTCAAATCAACTTTCTTCCCCATACTGATGCTTGGTTTGAACTGCAGGAGATTGTCTTGACCATGTCTACATGCCTAAATGCACTGAGTTGCAGCCATGTGATTGGCTGCTTAGAAATTAAGTGTTAACGAGCAGTTGGACAGGTGTACCTAATAAAGTGGCCGGTGAGTGTATATTATATAGAAATAGTTCAAAAATATATAAAACTATATATAAAAAGCTGACTAAAAATGACAAAAGTACATAAATGACTAAGAAAATTTCAAAATAAAAGCTAATTCAAAATAAAATATTAAAACAATTTTTTGGTAACACTTTATTTTATGGTGACGTAGTTACACATTACTACATGTACTTACTATAGTAATAACAGTAAATTATGCATAATTAAACCCTAACCGTAACCCTATAGTAAGTACATGTAGTTAATTCATATTACTCAGTACATATTTGAGTAAGTACAATGTAACTAAATCACCTTAAAATAAAGGGAAACCACAATTTGCTTTGGCATAGAATAAGTGAAGAATTATCATTGAACAGTTTTTAAAACACATTCATTTATATCACATGTATTTGTTTGTGAAATTCGGGTACAACTTTATTTTGCAGTGTCCATCTTACACGTATTTACTATAGCAGTAAATTATGCATAATTACTTGCAACTAACCCTATAGTAAGTACATGTTATTGATTAATATTACTCAGTACTTCAGTGTATATTTACACTGTAACAAGGACACCCTAAAATAAAGTGTACCATAAATGTACAGTTTTAGATGCAACAGAGATTGAAGCAAATTACAAATTGAGTAAATTTTTATACGAGGACTGAAATGACAGTTTTTTAACAACCCATTCTTACCTTAAAGGGGTCATATATTTTTTAATTATTATTATTATTTCCCCCCATTAAGATCCACTTACGAATTAAGAACAGAAACTGCTTTTGCATGTGAAATAAGAAATCTTTCTGCCGTTTTCTCTGCGCTGAAATGCTCCACACATGCGCTTAAGTTCGGACTGAAATGATCAGGGTTCTTGTTACAAACAATCTTCACCTACCCAACCTTGGGATCCTCATGGAGGTATATAGGCCCAAGGTTGGACAAACCGTTCTTTACTTGATTTTTATACCTGATTTGACTTAGTTCAGGGGAGCCCAATCCTGTTCCTGGAGATCTACCTTCCTGCAAAGTTCATATCCAACCCTGATCAAACACACCTGTCTGTAGTTATCAAGAGCTCCTGAAGATCTTAGCTGTGTTTATCGCCCTTATACCCTCGGTCACTATTCCCTACATTAGTCCACTAATATAGTCCACTTGAAGGAGTGAGTGGTTACACCACTACAAATTTGCTGTCCCTTCAAATAGTGCACTAGGAGTGTAACAATATATCGCAATACAAAAATGCAACAATACGTATCGTGGATAATGACAATACGTATCGTGGATAGTCCCCTCAAAATAAAAATTACTGTGTGAGAAAAAAATTCAAGTTTTCAGAGTTTTAGTGTAAGTACTACATTAAACTACTATATATAATGTTGATTTCAATGTATAATAATGTAAAATAGTGGGTCCTGATAATGCCAAATGTCTGATGTTACCAGTAAAAAGTGGCCGACATTATTTGAAATATATCTAGTCAGTGAAAGAGTGCAAGCATATTCGTCTAAAATAATTCAGTATTTTCAGCTTCAGAATCATGAATATTTTTATTCCAGTGTCATTATTGTCCTCCTTGGGTTACAAGCACCAATATCAAATTTAGCATTTTAATCACCAGTACATTTTTTGTTAACTTTTACCATATGTCTTGGAGTATCGCAATAATATCGTATCGTGAGTTCAGTATCGTGATATGTATCGAATCGTGACATAAACCTACTATTTAATGGTATAGGGGGCGATTACGGACACAGCTCTCATTTACAGGAATCTACTGCACTGTCTCTGATTGAGGAAAATGAGGAAATGCCGTCCAGCGGCCTTGTGTTTTGCATAAAGCTCCCTGTGAGATGGTTTGAGCTCTTGTTGTGGGCTGAAGATGTGTGCTCTCATTTCACAGTGTACAAACGGGCACCTGATGTGCGCCGGCTGCTTCATCCACCTGCTCGCTGACGCGCGCCTCAAAGAGGAGCAGGCCACGTGTCCTAACTGCCGCTGTGAGATCAGTAAGAGTCTGTGTTGCAGGAACCTGGCGGTGGAGAAAGCCGTGAGTGAACTGCCCTCTGAGTGCAGCTACTGCCTCAAACAGTTCCCTCGCTCCGGCCTCGAGCGCCACCAAACAGAGGAGTGCCAGGACAGGTACTGCTGCACCCATTCACCAAACACACACGATTACGCTGGAAAGCCATGGGGCCAGTTCACTAAACACTTGTGTAGTGCCGCACAATCACTGTTTAAATCCGTTAGGATTCTTTTCAGCACAACACGCTACTTTTGTAAATAGAGTGAATTAGTGCCCGGCCACTTTTTTTTTTAGCAGCCTTGGTTCTGGAAGTATTTTTTTCCCTTTATTAAAGTCTTTATTAAAGTGTTATAAGCCATGAACCAACCAACCAACCATCTCAACATTAAAAACTTTGATTTGAAGCAAAAGTGTATTTGAAAATTTGACTGTTTTAGTGAGAGAAAGAACTGCAATCCCATGAAGCATTGCAAAAAAAAAAATCTAATTAAAAATTATGGAGAAATTCTGACTGATTGGTGGAGTTTTCTGTACAGAATCATGGGTAATGGGTCGGTTTTCACCATTAAAGGGTTAGTTCACCCCAAAATGAAAATGATGTCATTAATGACTCTCCCTCATGTCGTCACAAGCCCGTCAGACCTCCGTTCATCTTCAGGACACAGTTTAAGATATTTTAGATTTAGTCCGAGAGCTTTCTGTCCCTCCATTGTAAATGTATGTACGGTATACTGTCCTTGTCCAGAAAGGAGATAAAGACATCATCAAAGTAGTCCATGTGACATCAGTGGGTTAGTTAGAATGTGTTGAAGCATCGAAAATACATTTTGGTCCAAAAATAACAAAAACTAGGCCTTTATTCAGCATTATAATGTCTTCTGGTTCTGTTGTGGATCCGCGTTCAGTGCCGCCGCTGACGTAAGACGCTGCTGACGTGTGTCTGGTGTGTGTGTGTGTGTGTGTATTCTGGTTCTGTTGTGGATCCGCGTTCAGTGCCGCTGCTGACGTAAGACGCTGCTGACGTGTGTCTGGTGTGTGTGTGTGTGTGTGTGTATTCTGGTTCTGTTGTGGATCCGCGTTCAGTGCCGCTGCTGACGTAAGACGCTGCTGACGTGTGTCTGGTGTGTGTGTGTGTGTGTGTGTGTATTCTGGTTCTGTTGTGGATCCGCGTTCAGTGCCGCTGCTGACGTAAGACGCTGCTGACGTGTGTCTGGTGTGTGTGTGTGTGTGTGTATTCTGGTTCTGTTGTGGATCCGCGTTCAGTGCCGCTGCTGACGTAAGACGCTGCTGACGTGTGTCTGGTGTGTGTGTGTGTGTGTATTCTGGTTCTGTTGTTGATCCGCGTTCAGTGCCGCCGCTGACGTAAGACGCTGCTGACGTGTGTCTGGTGTGTGTGTGTGTGTGTATTCTGGTTCTGTTGTGGATCCGCGTTCAGTGCCGCTGCTGACGTAAGACGCTGCTGACGTGTGTCTGGTGTGTGTGTGTGTGTGTATTCTGGTTCTGTTGTGGATCCGCGTTCAGTGCCGCCGCTGACGTAAGACGCTGCTGACGTGTGTCAGGTGTGTGTGTGTGTGTGTATTCTGGTTCTGTTGTGGATCCGCGTTCAGTGCCGCTGCTGACGTAAGACGCTGCTGACGTGTGTCAGGTGTGTGTGTGTGTGTGTATTCTGGTTCTGTTGTGGATCCGCGTTCAGTGACGCCGCTGACGTAAGACGCTGCTGACGTGTGTCTGGTGTGTGTGTGTGTGTGTCTGGTGTGTGTGTGTGTGTCTGGTGCGCCCGAGCTTCGTTTACAGTCTGAGGGAGACGCACGCTGGAAACAAAACAATCTTCGCAAACATGTCTAAGGATTTCCACACAGAGGAAGACTTGCATTTTTTTGCCCAGCCGTATTTATTTGAACCCGAATACACGAACGCACCAGACACACGTCAGCAGCGTCTTACGTCAGCGGCGGCACTGAACGCGGATCCACAACAGAACCAGAACACACACACACACACACACCAGACACACGTCAGCGGCGTCACTGAACGCGGATCCACAACAGAACCAGAATACACACACACACACACACACCAGACACACGTCAGCAGCGTCTTACGTCAGCGGCGGCACTGAACGCGGATCCACAACAGAACCAGAATACACACACACACACACACACACACACACACACACACACACCAGACACACGTCAGCAGCGTCTTACGGCAGCGGCGGCACTGAACGCGGATCCACAACAGAACCAGAATACACACACACACACACACACACACACCAGACACACGTCACTAACAGAGGGACGGTGTGCTGCGTCCCTCTGTTAGTGGCGACTCGCGAGACAATCGGGACACTATTGCAGCCACGGTCGGCGAGTTAATATACATGCTATCTTCCTAACTTAAAAAATAAATAAATTCATAATACCCGCTGAAATGGGTTGGGTTGTACGACGTTTGATCCAGAAAGGCGTGTTAAGGGCGGGGTTTAGGGCGGGGCTACTGGCCCGGCAGTGGAAACGCAAGCCCGGTGCTTGAGGCCCGAGACCAGAGGCCACTGGCTCGGCTCGGCTCGCTGTTAGCCCTGGCCCGGCAGTGGAAACGCGGCTAGTGTGTCTGTCGCCGTTGGTCTGCTCTTGTTTTCACTGATTGAACATGTAGAATCTGCATTTGTCGGGTCGGGGAATGTCTGAGAAGTGACTGAAAAGGCCAATTGACACTGTACAGACAGACACAGACCAACACAGCACGTCACTTCTAAATACTTGTTCAATCTGCGAAAACAAGTTCAGACAGACGCCAACAGACTCCGACAGGCGTGACTAAGAAAATCCAGACTAAGTGTCTGTTGCCTTCTGTCGTCTCGGTGTGAATTGGCTTTTATATGATGAACATTTAATTTAGGCCTTTATAAACATTAATCAGCGAACATAAACAGAAGCTCAACCGTACGTGCGAGAACAAACCTCATTGGTTCAAACCTCAAATGTGCTGCGTGACACGAGAATGAACCTCATTGGTTCTCACGTGTCAAGCTAGCATGCCTGAGCTTTGTTCTGAAGGAGAACGAGTGTCTTATGGGTTTGGAATGACACGAGGGTGATGACAGAATTTATTTGTATTGTTCATTGTAGTTCATGTTAACCTATGTAGTGAACTAATGTCAACAAACGTACCCTTATTGTAAATGTAACCCCTCCGGTCCTATTCCACGCAGTCTCTTGTGATCAGGGGAGTGAGGTTTACTTTCACTAGCTGGCCTTCACTAGAGCCATCGCACCAGACACACGTCAGCAGCGTCTTACGTCAGCGGCGTCACTGAACGCGGATCCACAACAGAACCAGAATACACACACACACACACACACACCAGACACACGTCAGCAGCGTCCTACGTCAGCGGCGGCACTGAACGCGGATCCACAACAGAACCAGAATACACACACACACACACACACACACCAGACACACGTCAGCAGCGTCTTACGTCAGCGGCGGCACTGAACGCGGATCCACAACAGAACCAGAATACACACACACACACACCAGACACACGTCAGCAGCGTCTTACGTCAGCAGCGGCACTGAACGCGGATCCACAACAGAACCAGAATACACACACACACACAAACACACACACACACCAGACACACGTCAGCAGGGTCTTACGTCAACAGCGTCACTGAACGCGGATCCACAACAGAACCAGAATACACACACACACACACACACACACCAGACACACGTCAGCAGCGTCTTACGTCAGCGGCGGCACTGAACGCAGATCCACAACAGAACCAGAATACACACACACACACACACACACACCAGACACACGTCAGCAGCGTCTTACGTCAGCGGCGGCACTGAACGCAGATCCACAACAGAACCAGAATACACACACACACACACCAGACACACGTCAGCAGCGTCTTACGTCAGCGGCGGCACTGAACGCAGATCCACAACAGAACCAGAATACACACACACACACACCAGACACACGTCAGCAGCGTCTTACGTCAGCAGCGGCACTGAACGCAGATCCACAACAGAACCAGAATACACACACACACACACACACACCAGACACACGTCAGCAGCGTCTTACGTCAGCGGCGGCACTGAACGCGGATCCACAACAGAACCGGAAGACAATACAATGCTGAATAAAGTCATAGTTTTTGTTATTTTTGGACCAAAATGTATTTTCGATGCTTCAACACATTCTAACTAACCCACTGATGTCACATGGACTACTTTGATGATGTCTTTATTTCCTTTCTGGACAAGGACAGTATACCGTACATACATTTACAATGGAGGGACAGAAAGCTCTCGGACTAAATCTAAAATATCTTAAACTGTGTCCTGAAGATGAACGGAGGTCTGACGGGCTTGTGACGACATGAGGGAGAGTCATTAATGACATCATTTTCATTTTTGGGTGAACTAACCCTTTAATTTAACATAATGCGGACTGACAGCTTCGACAAAAGTATATAGCATTGATTAACAATCTCGTAGCTCACAGTAGGGCTGTTTTTAATGGTTTATAAATTCTCGTTAAAAATCTATTTCCCTATGGATAAAATGAATGGACTTTTTTTATTCTAATTGCTACGATGGTTTCATGTGAGTGACAGGTTTCTGGACGGGAAGAATTGAAACTGGCGTTTGGACAAGCTTATTTCCCAGCCCTCATCAGAGAAGAGACATCTTTGCGAGACAACGGGAATGTTACTGTTTCTGATTAAAGACTATGAGGGCATATGTTTTTTTAAAAATAAATACTGATGTGCACAGATTATTTATTTATAATAAATACTGGAATATTCCATAAAAAAATAAGAATTGTCAATTTTGATTTCATTGGCCTATTACAACTTTCGAAAAGCAGCGAAAAGCTTGTTTAAAAGAGATTTTTGTGTCCGTTTTCTAGTGAAAATTAATTGAGTTACACTTTATTTTAAGGTGAAATAGTTACGTTGTACTTACTCAAATAAGTACTGAGTAATATGAATTAACTGCATGTACTTCGAGTTGGTTTAGGGTTAGTTGCTTGTAATTATGCATTATTTACTGTTATTACTATAGTAAGCAATTTTATCACCTTAAAATAAATTGTTACCATTCATTGTAATCAGGCACTAATCCAGACGTGTAGTTGAGCACACATTCATTTAAAGAGAGATGTTTTCATCCATAGTGATTTACTTTAGTGCTTTAGCATCACATGTGAGGCCACTGTGATCATATGTGTCTTCAGCATTACATGTCTGGCCTTTAAAAGGACTTTGGTGCAAATAAATAATTGCGCTGTCAGTGGACACAATTCGTGTTTAGTGAATCCTCCGTATTCTAGTCTTAATTAGATGTATAAACATTGACACTTGGCTTGGACTATACAAGTCTCATGCATTCACTCGCATAAAAAAAGAAATCTCTTCAAATTTCATATTATTTTATATGCAATCAGCAAGCAAACTGAGATACTATGCAAAAGATTTAAATCAAGTCAATTTTATTCATATAACATAGTTTTAAAGCAGCTTTGCAGAAAATCATGATGTTAATGTTTATGTGGCCGGTTTCACAGACTAAAATGCATGTTTGAGCTGTTTTAACAAAGCAACTTGCACTGAAATTTCTTAAAATATGCCGTTGTTTTGTCTCAAGATGCACATCAGTGATATTTTTTTTCTAAGGCACATTTATAAAAGACACATAAAAATCCTTTATTGAACTAATGCCTTATCCTGACTTAATCTAAACCCTGTCTGTGAAACCGGGACATACTATCTTATCTACATGCCTTATAGTTGCATTTAGTAGATTTGAGCTGGTCAATAGTAAAGTTGGATATACACTCAGATATCAACATTATATATAGAGCTGTGAGATGATACCGTATTTACAGACTATATTGCTAGAGTTATTGGTTGGTCATTTAAAAAAAAGGTGTTGTTTTTTTGTTTTTGGAAATAGAGTGACGCAGTGCAAGTACAAGCGGATTGGCTGCCCATGGCACGGGCCGTTCCACGAGCTCAGCGCTCACGAGGCCGAGTGCTGCCACCCGTCTAAGACCGGCATGGAGCTGATGGGTATCCTGGATGAGATGGACCAGAGCCATCGCAGAGAGCTACAGCTCTACAACAGCATCTTCAGCCTGCTGTGCTTTGAGAAGATCGGTTTTACAGGTACATAGAAACCTTGAGTCTCGTTTCAGTGCAATATTGACTCTTCAAATAAAGCTTAGCTTATTTAGGTTCCTTGACATATTGCTGTAGACCTTTAAAGTCCCCCTGTAGTCAATCATTTGATCCTTTAAAACTCATATTTGATCACCAAAATGACATATTTAAAGTTTATTTCCTTGAAAAAAAATTCTTCATGCCTTAAAATAGATTTAATGTAACTCGACACCCTTGCCTCATTTAGGATACACGGTTCTATGAATATGTAAATGAGCCCCGCCTCCACTCACTCACTCAGCTCATAGATCCACTGGCTGACGATCACACGTTGATCTGATTGGTTACAAGGTAGTTTGTGACGTCAGAAACACCAGCGATTTCAAACCGCGTTTTTGAGACTGTCTTTGGCTCACTGCAGTTTTAAGAAGAAAATACTCGGCAATGGTGTTGAATTTTGGCATGATTTGTCTTAAAAAAAATCTTAAAAATCTGTCATTATTCACCCTACCATAAGACTTTCGTTCATCTTTGGAACCCAAAGAAAGATATTTTTTAGTGAAATCAGAGATTTATGTCCCTCCATTGAAAGTCTTATTTACCCAAATCACTGCTGCTTCATAACATGATCAAAATAAAATGAACTCATATAATCATCAGGCGGTTAAATCCAAGTCTTCTGAAGAGACACGATCGCTTTAAGGCTAATTCACACTGCACAGACAGACGGCCGCACACACTTCGTCGGGGTTTGCTGGATCAGTGTGTCTGTCGCCGTTGGTCTGCTCTTGTTTTCACTGATTGAACATGTAGAATCTGCATTTGTCGGGTCGGGGAATGTCTGAGAAGTGACTGAAAAGGCCAATTCACACTGTACAGACAGACACAGACCAACACAGCACGTCACTTCTAAATGCTTGTTCAATCTGCGAAAACAAGTTCAGACAGACGCCAACAGACTCCGACAGGCGTGACGCACTGATCCGACAAAATCCAGACTAAGTGTCTGTTGCCTTCTGTCGTCTCGGTGTGAATTGGCTTTTATATGATGAACATTTAATTTAGGCCTTTATTCACCTATAAACATTAATTAGCGAACATAAACAGAAGCTCAACCGTATGTGCGAGAACAAACCTCATTGGTTCAAACCTCAAATGTGCTGCGTGACACGAGAATGAACCTCATTGGTTCTCACGTGTCAAGCTAGCATGCCTGAGCTTTGTTCTGAAGGAGAACGAGTGTCTTATGGGTTTGGAATGACACGAGGGTGATGACAGAATTTATTTGTATTGTTCATTGTAGTTCATGTTAACCTATGTAGTGAACTAATGTCAACAAACGTACCCTTATTGTAAATGTAACCCCTCCGGTCCTATTCCACGCAGTCTCTTGTGATCAGGGGAGTGAGGTTTACTTTCACTAGCTGGCCTCCCTTAAGGTGATGATACACAGGGCAACTTTTTAAACAATGTTGCTGGGCAATCTTGCCGAGCGATTGTTGCTTGGGCAGTTTCCCATTGAAAATGGGCAATACATTTCTATCTGGATAATTTAGATCAGTCGTGGACCCTGTGTCTCATCTGGTTGCCCGTTGACGCCGACATTGCCCAGCAACATTGCTCAAAAAGTTGCCCTGTGTATCATCACCTTTAAACTCACTCCCATCCGGGTCACGGCACCAATTTATACCCTCTGGTCTTACTTGCCCCGCTCCGAGCGAGAATCGAACCCACGTCTCTGGCATAGGAGGCGGTGGGCTAACAAAGACGCTGAAGACCGTAGTCTCTAGCATGAGTTGTTTGTGCACCTCTTGAGATCAAGGGAGTGAGGTTTACCTCCACAACTCTCACTAGCTGGCCTCCGTTACATAAAGTGTTACCGATAACCGCTTGTGTCGTGAAGTAAGTTGATAGCTTGTAATGTCATGTGTCTTTGCCTCAGAGGTGCAGTTCCGGCCCTACCGCACCGACGACTTCATCACACGCCTGTACTACGAGACGCCTCGCTTCACCGTCCTCAACCAGACCTGGGTCCTGAAGGCACGGGTCAACGACTCGGAGCGCAACCCCAACCTGTCCTGCAAGCGCACGCTCTCCTTCCAGCTCATCCTGAAGAGCAAAGTGAACTCTGCCCTGGAGTGCTCCTTTCTGCTGCTGAAGGGCCCGTACGACGACGTGAAAATCAAACCCGTCATCCAGCACCACGTCTTCTCCAACGACGCCAACGAGACCGAGTACGCCCTGCTGCCCATCAGCGACAGCGTGGAGTGCAACAAGCTGCTCGCTGCCAAAAACATCAACCTCCGCCTCTTCATCTTTCAGATCCAGAAATAGAGGCACGGGACGACGGGGGCGGAAGAAACGGAGAAGGAGGAGGGGATGGAGTGAACAAAGGCGAAGCGGAGAGGGTGACGAGCACCACTGAACCACAGATACCTCTACGGGAGCAAAAGAAGGATGAATACGGCCCATCAGTACTGCAGTAGATCGTTTGTGTGTGTGTGAGTGTGTGTTGTAAGCTTTCAGACCCTCGACAGCCAAAAAAAAAGTCAACAATCTCACCCTGCTGATCTCCCATTGGGCTTGATCGGGCCTGAATGAACAACACCAAGAGTCTGGGACTGTGTTTGTGTGTTTCTGGGCCTGTTTGCGTGGATATCAGTCAGTAATGACCAATGGGGCGAGTGTTTTAAGGAATGAGACTGAACGAGTGCTAGAGATAGAGACAGGTGCAACTGATCATTCAGGCGGCGTTCAACTCTGCGTTTGTGTTTTCACGCTGTTTTCAGACCTTCCTCTTGAGGTTTACCCACACAGACGCAGCGGCTGCAACTGCTTTAAGTGTATTTTTGTATGTGAAGGTGGCCATTTTCATCAAAGCGCAGCTGTACAGTCAGGCTGAACAAAATGGCTGCCGATCCCACAACCCGAAAGATGCGATTTGCATGTTTTTTAGTTTCTCCGTGTGCTCTCTGGAACGCACACCTTTAGTTGCGTAGCATCGTAGCCTTGTAATCTAACTTAAGTTTGAGCTTTTTAACATTTATTTAAGAACCTGTGAATCTTGCCCCTTTTTTTTTCTTCTTCGAATTTTTCCTGCTTATCCCGCACTCTTTTAACCCCCCCATTTTGTGAACACAGGTACATTTCTCCCGACATGATGTCATGATATTTATATTTATTGCTTTTATTTAACCTGCATTAAGGTAACGGACTTTTCACACTCACTCAACACTGCTAAACTGGAAAGATGTGATTTTGAGGCAGTGTAACAGACCTTCTTCCACCCTTATCCACACACACACACACATAAACAGACACAAACGACCTTCTTTCATACCTTCATCTCTCTCCCTCGCACACACACACACACACACTAAGCTGGGGGTACAAAAGAGCCAATGGGGTAATCAGATCTCAGTTCAGATGAACGCGGCTGTGACTTAGTTGTGACATGAACTCATGAACGGCAGAACCAGCAGTTGAGCGGATCTAGCAGAGACTGTCACTTCTGATTAGAGGAGTTTAGTTTAAAACTGTTTCTGCATTTAAAGGCTTTTAATTCTCACACTCTGGCTGTATATGTGCCTTTCTATTAAAGCTCATTTAAACTTGTGGCACTGCATTCTTTCTTGAGTACTTGAGTTGATAAATGCTTAAATTACACCTTGTTATTCTCTGATAAATGCATGTTTGAAACTTGTACTTGTCATGTGGGTAACAGAACACGTGCTTTTAAAAAAAAAAAAAAAGTAATCATTTACTCACCCTAGTGATGTTCCACCTGTACGACTTTTATCTGAAGGAGCACAAAATTTGGCTGTCCGAATAAATCAAACTGAATTTAACTATTTCAGCCCTTTTACCTCTGATTCTAAACAGCTGATAGAAAACACAAATCTGAATTGATCCTAATTCGAAACTATTAAATGCTTTGTTATTGTAATTTTCCCTTAAAGCCACCAGAGGGCGTTTTATTGCATTTTTGTTTAAATCATAATCAAACCGATTTAATCAAAAATACTCAAATAAATGTAGCTACTTTTAAACATTTATCTGAATGTCTGAAGAGGACAACGTCAAAGTGAACCGACTGACCCTGATATGAATGTGAGTAAAGACAAGAAGCCAACAGTTTACCAATTAAAAGGCCATATATTTAAGAAATCACACTTAGATATTGTCCAATCAGGTCAAATGTTACATCCTAATAAAATTCTGACAAACAAACAAAACAACAAAACATTATTTTAAAAGGTTCTACACCGACAAACTTTGTAGAATCTAGTTTCATTCCTCACTCATGTAATATAGCCCTCTATAAACAAGATAAATATAGTATCATATACTATTCAAATATAACATTTTATGGATATTAAGCAAAAACATAATATAAATAGCATATTTAGTATAAATTATGCTCTAACAGCAATTTAAACATGACGTTATCAATCTCCATGTAACGTAAAATTCAAAACAAGTTTCTGACAGAGTAGAAAAGGCTGAATCTGAAGATGCGATCAGACTCGAGTGCTACAGGCTGTACAGGACATTATGTGCAGCTACAAACACTGAATATGCATATGAGTTTATAACACTATGTGTGGGTACATAGTGTCCTTTAGTACCAGCATTGGTTCTGATTAACGTTACAGCCATTTTTGCAGCTACCGGACTGGAAGGAGAGCCCCATCACACTGAGCGGTGGAGGGGGAGAGGAGTTGCAGTACAGCTGCAGTCCAGCAGGAGGAACCAAACACTGGCTCTGCCCGGCCTGTCCTGACACCAGCACTGCAGAGGGATACGACTGCTGCGGCTGCGGGACCTTGTTAGGAGACACAAAACACATGGGCATACAATAATTATTTGAATATTTCCATTATATATATCAATAGTTTAAATTATATATTAATACATTTTTGTGTGTGTGTGTTTATTTATATATATAAAAATTAAAACAATATATATATATATATATATCAATGTTTTAATTTATATATATATATATATATATATATAAAAATGGAAATGTGTAGTAAATATATTAATACAAATATTAAAATAATAATTAGATACATTTTTAGAATTTGTAATTGTAATTATTATAATTGTTATTAATTTAATATTGTTTTATTAATATATTAATATTTATAATGATGTGTATATTATTTGATATGTTTGTATATTATTTTATTTAATATTAATTATATATACATTTTTAGAATGTAATATTTTACTATTTCTATTAATATATTAATATTTTTAATATAAAATTAATATATTATTAGAAATATAGAAATATTTAAATACAATAATATTGAGAATAATAATACTTATAATAATAAATGCATTTACTTATAATAATAAATGCATACACACGTGTGTATGTACTGTATGTATAATTAATGATTATTATAACATTTCATATTAATATTGATTTAAATATGACTAATTTATTTTATTTTATAATAAAAAATTCAATTATATATATATTAACCTATCAATAAAATGTGCATGGACTGAAAATCCAAACTAAGTTTTCTGTAGTTTGTTTATTTGCATCAGTACCTGATAGGAGGACACGGATGGGTAATGTCCCATAATGCTTTGCTGTGTTTGGGGTAGAATCTGGTTTCCCATCATGCCTGGGCAACCTTGTTGGTGAGATATCACAGGCGGGTATCCTGTTGAGAGAAATGTTGACAAATATGTGTGAGATTTTATTTATTGTATAGTGATCGCGGACTCAATATGACAGCCAACACAGAGTAAATTCAATAGATATTTTTTCTTTGTTTATTTATTTACAAATGTATTTTTATGCATGTATCCACAGCACAGAGACTTGATCGTCTTTATCTCATATGAGAGCTGATATGAATAGCAGGACAAGAGACCGGTTCACTGTGAGACCAGTGACACCATCTCTTACAGTGTAGCGGCCCCCTCTCCTACTACTGAGACTCAGCGTGAGTGACACAGATCTTCATGTGTACCTGTTTGTGTGCTGTAACTGCCCGCTGCGTACTGTTGAGCTGCACTGGGACACTGAACAGGGTAACTGTACACTGAAACCTAAGAGGGCACACCAGAATTGACTCATAATTAGACATACAGTATGACATTACACCGTATCTCATGACTCATTGATGAAGAATTACCTGGTTGCTCTGCTGAGTCTGAGGGGGCGGGGCTGTGGGAGGGGGCGGGGCTGTGGGAGGAGCCAGTGTCATTCCAGGACTCATGTAACTGTCTGAATGGTGAGGCGGAGCGTAGCTGTGTGTGGGCGGAGCGTAGCCGTGTGTGGGCGGAGCGTAGCCGTGTGTGGGCGGAGCATAGCTCTGTGTGGGCGGAGCTCCTTGCACGTAGAATGACGACATATCTGGAAGATCCCCTGATGACTGGTGACTCAAGGTCATGTGACCAAACTTAGAGCTAATGTCTTCCCTCTAGGAAGCAAAAAATAAGTTTGTCATGTACTCTGTTATGTATATAGTGTGTATCATAGTATATGTATATTTATCACTTACAGTCTGTTCTATTGGGTGTTGCTGAGAGGTAGAAGCGTTTAACTGCTGAGGTGGAAGGTACGTCACAGAGGAGTACTGAACCTAAACCAGAAATGAGAGGACAGGTTGTGGATTTTGTTGATTTTATATAAGGAACATTTTCTCTGGGACTGTATTACAGAAACTTCCTATCTTAATTCAATATTTAAGATTTAAAAAAAAATTCCCATGTTTACTAAACATGCAGTACATGATGATTCTAAGATAGGATGTTTCTGTTACAGTCCCAGAATATTATAATGTACAGCATGAAAAATGGACGTTCATTTTGAGATTTGCTAAAGATTACATTTAACTTGTTTTTATTAAACTATTACTGTTTTTAAAGATGAACACAAAGGTAATCTAACTGTAAAAACAGGTCAATTGAGCATGAAAAATTAATTGTACAATATCGACCACTACAGATATATAAAACAAAATCAGACTACCGATATATATTGTGCAACACGAGTCTCCATTATATGTTTCACTCACCTGTGGGACACCATGGCTTGCTATTGGCTGCTGCTGAGGTGGAGGGGGCGGGGCTTGTGACTGTACTGGGTTAAGCTGGTGATTTACTGGTGGGTTGTAAATGGCTGGAGTTCCATCAGGATTCAGAAATGGCTGCCCTAAAGGACATGTTCATCGTTGGATGAGAGAGATTATTTGGTGTGTAGACTCACAGTCAGTGTGAACCAATGAGTCAACTTCTACTCAGTGAATAGTGTGTGTGTGTGTGTGTGTGGGTATACACGGGTTTCTTGTATACAAACAATACCGGATGCGCGCGCATCCAGGAGGCAAAAATCTGTTATGCCGAGTTCTGTAAAAGAACATTGTACATAGATTTCGTATTGTTTGTAATTTCTTGTTGACTCAATAATAAACTGCAATTTCAGAGTTGGATCTGTTTGTTTGGGTTTCATATTAATATAACATTATGTAAAACGTCCAACTGTTTACGAATCAAAATCCGGACATACTGTGATGCATGTATGAATTATCATGTTAGACTAAGTTAGTAATGTAATAGCCTCTATAGAGCCCGAATGTGCTTTTATATAAGTTAACCTTGTTTACGTTACTTTACGACCGGCAACATATCATGACCGCACACGTATAACGTTACTTTACTGTAAATCAAAGATTTGACGATGGATTATGTGGGAATTAAGCCTTAGTACCTCCGACCGTGGCGATTATATTAAAAAACGTACTCTCAGCAATGGTGAGATCTTGCCGGATCCCTACGCAATACCTGACGATCTTTGGATTGTGGATGACAAGAAGTGGCCAGCAATTGTATGGCCTGATATATATAATTATTTAATTCAGACACCAAGTGTGTAATACAAGAGAATTGATTAGAGCGTACAAATCCCTTGATGCATACAACTATGTGTCATGTGCAGCTCGTCAAATACTTGACTGCACCATCCGGACCCCAATCTGCCCTTCTGATGGCTTGAAACCATAACCACCACCGGTTTTTGGCAAAACCATGCTTCCCCCTAGGAACGTTGAACATCTGGCACCCAGCACTGGCTCGGTTGGTACAATTGACCACGCAACAACTCCTTGGCATTTTGACTAGCGACAACACCACCACTATGCTACTAGCCTAAACCCTTTACTCCGGTACGAAGACCGCGGGTCTTTTGCCTCCTGGTTGCGTGCGCAAGCAGTGATGACGTCGCCGAGAAATCCATGTATATGTTTTTCTATCCCGGTGGGGACTTAAACCTGAATGCACACAGATTCATGGGAACTCGTGACACTGTGGGGACCTAAATTGAGGTACACAAGCTTATAAATCATACAGAATGAGTTTTTTTGAAAATGTAAAAATGCAGAAAGTTGTGTGTGAAGGCTAGGTTTAGTGTAAGGCAGTGGTTTTGAGACTTTTTCAAGAGGGACCCTTTTTTTATTTTTTATTTTATACGCGACCCATAGGCTTGTGCGCAGAATTTTTTTTCTTTAACCTTTAAGCACTTTTTTAACCACTTTACTTTTGATGATGCACGTGCACTTGCTGATCCTTGACGCGATTGCAACGCAAAGTCGATTCTGAAATAATTTGATCAAGCTATAGGCCTACATACAGGACTTTTAACCAATAAATAGCTTATCGTTTGCTGAATGCTTAAAAAAATACAAATACACAAAACATATTCCACAACAACCTCTTTAAATGTAATATTCATTATATACAGAACAGAACAAGAATAAAAAAAATAATAACTAAACAAGCCAAAACGAAATAATTTAAAGGGAAAGTAAAAGGGGCATTATGCTCACGTAGCCTAACTCTCTCATTAGAATCAAAATATTTTAACATTCGAGATGTATTTGATGGTAAACTATTCTTTATTATAGGCGTTGTAGCAACTTCACTCACGTTGCAATATCGACAGGAAAAAAAATCATCCTTTTCACATGCGCAAAAATGTGCTTGGAAACATCACAGTTGAGCGGTGCTTACGCTGAATGGTACGAATTGACTATTTAAACAGAGCAGTGTGATTTTTATATTAGGTTGACTATTTTATTGTCATATTTTTATTTCGGCTATAATGAACAGGCTGCGATGTCAAGCCTGGAATGGTGTATGTGTGTGTGTGTGTGTGTGTGTGTGTGTGTGTGTGAGGCGCGGCACTGGAAACAAAAAATATACTCCGTTGTTCATACAGGACATCATTCAAACTGCAAAGTGTTTATTTATACTTGTGTACACTCGACACAACATTGTTAAAACACAACATTGTGGTTTTGTCAAACTGTAAACTCTTGTCAAACTTAACCTACAACTGTCACCCAACCAAAATCACACACAGTTTAAAAGCAAACTTATTTATAATTCAAATGAGAATAGGGCTGTCAACGAATATTCTAAATTCAAATAGGCCTATATATTCGAATAGTTTTAAAAAACAGAATTTCGAATGTGAAAATTAATATTTGAATGTGGAAAAACACGCCCGCGGTATCAGAGGCGCGGCTGTCTGCTTTGCGAGTGGGCGCTGCCTGAGGGATCAGGGACAGGTCACAAGAGTTGCACTGGCACAGCTGAAAGTTTTTTTATTTCTTATTCTTATTTATTGCATGAATAAGGTAGGTTAGATACAGCAGTTCCATGCATCGCAGGCTTCACTGGTTTGATTATTTACCTTTTCATGTCAAGGAAAAGTTCCATGTTTACCACAGCACAGCTCGCTCGGGGCGTTCAATGTCGGTTCTTTAAAACTTCAATTAATGTTAATAATATTTGTTTCAATCACTGAATGAAGCCTGCTATATTTGGGACAAGAGTCGCGACCTTAAATTGCTTGCACAAAACTCTTGATCAGCACTCAACATTTGTTTATTGTTGTTGTTGTTCATTTAAACCGTTATGGGCAGAGAGCGTGAGGTGAGGGAGAGAGAGAGAGAAAGAGTGCCTAGCGAGAGTGAGGTCTGCGGTCTTGGCCATTAGTTGATTTAGGCTACTTGTTTTTGTGTAGGTAATACGTTGTCAAATATGTTTAAACTTAAATAAACTACCTAAACAAGTAGTTATGTCTCTTTGTATTAATTTGACCTGTTATTGACGTAATGCGCGTCATTGACAAAATGCACAACCAGATGTTCGAATAGTTCGAATATAGCATATGTGTTTTTTTAGAGGGATTTTTTAGAACGTAATTTGAGTAGCCTAATTTTGACAGCCCTAGGAAGGAACGACGAGTGTTAGTGTGTTGTTGCCGATGGAGCGAACGTACGTGTGTGTTGCGGGTGGAGCGAACGAGTGCGTGTTTTGTGTATATTAATGAGAAGGGCCTGCTTATTCTGCATAATCTGGTCCCAAGCCGGTTCGCAGGACGAGAGGGCAACACGCATGTCAGGAGAAGCATTCAGTTTGTTTCGTTGTTTCAAAGCTATTATTATTAATATTAATTTAATTAGAAAACGGAATTATTATTATTATTTTTTTTTAAATCACTGGCGACCCATTTTTTAATTGCGACCCAGGGTTTGAAAACCACTGGTGTAAGGGGACTTAATATACAGTTTGGACAGTATAAAAACCATTCCATCTATAGAGAGCCCTCACAAAGATAGCGAACCAGACTGTGTGTGTGTGTGTGTGTGTGTGTGTGTGTGTGTGTGTGTGTGTACCTGTATGTGGATTCAGTAAGATGCTCCCAGGAGGTATGGATGACTCAGCAGGCACGAGAACGTAAGCAGGGCTGTTGTTGGGTGGAGCGTATGATAGCGATGACTCAGACACTGTTGGATTGATCACACAGAAACAACAGCAGATCAGAAACATTATGAGGGATTCTGCACTATTTCCAGGCCACTAATCAAATAAGAACATTTGTGACATTGATCATGTGACTTTGTACAGCACAACGATGCTCTTTGGATCATCTCAAACGATGCCGAGTCATGCTGTAATTTAGGAAAAATAAAGGGGTGGTTCAGGATTTTGGACATCGGACCTCATTTCCAAGTTAGCCTGAGTGTTATTTATCAGTGGAGACAGTTTTCAAAAAATGTCATCCAGTCGTTCCAGTTGCATAGTTCGCCGGTGCTAGGCTAGTAACTGCCAATGGTAACTGCTAGCCTGCCATTAAAAACAGTTTTACCCACCAAAAGCAGATCAATTATAACGCCAGACTATCGATGTAAATGTCTGTTGAGAGAATAATGTTAGAAATCAAAGTACTCCAGCATCTCAATGATCGCATTACATTTACAGGAACTAGTTTCTCAGCAGCGGCGGAATTTTACTTTGCTCCGGTTAGTAGTGCTGCGCCGAAAAGTAAACCTTTGCCTAGGTTGCCTATATCCTTACCGGTTGCCTAGGTAACTTAATATCACTCCGCCACTGCTGTAGACTGTGCTAATAAATACCATAGACAGTAAAAGAAATGGACACAGCGACCCCATAGACTTCAACGGAGAAAAGTGAAGTCAAATAGAAGCACTCACTTCCTGATTGCCAGCGAACTGCGCAGGCTCAAACTGAGCTTGAAGACGTAGATGTGACGTGAGCAGCCTGTCTCACAGTTGTACGTCTTCTAGGAGCTGTGCCAAGGGGAATCTGAATCATTCCCTTCCGAATCTTGCAGAGTCGGAGATCGTGAGTATTAGCTGTCCATGAGGTAGCAGCAGGAGCAACTTTATGACACTCTCATATGGGCTTTTCTCCTTTGACTTTATGCCTCCACGTCCCCCCAATTGCGCGTGAGCTTCTCCTCCAGTCTATACGGTAATTTCTCTACTGTGCGACAGAGAGTTGCGTGTTATGACGCAATCGTTAGCCTATTTTTACAAAAACTGCTTCTACGGGGCCATAACGTAAGATACAAGGTAATGGAGCCTTTTATACATTGCCGTGTTTCTTTAGAAATAAACAATGGACAAATGGAGTCTTTAAACGCCTCAGATGTAAAGTTATTCACTGTCAAAGCGACGCCAAAATGATTGGGAGTCAATGGAATGCTAATAGCAGGTGAAGGCTTGTTAGCCAATGCCGGCCCCCGGGGAGACTTCAGTTTTCGGCTGGTGGATTACCCCCTTGATAAATACAGGGAACAAAGTATAACTATTGCAATGCGATGAAAGGGTAGTTTGATTTCTAACATTATTCTCTTAACAGACATTTACATCGATAGTCTGGCGTTATTTATTTGCGTTTGGTGTACTGTGGAGTGGGTAAAACTGTTTTTAATGGCAGGCTAGCAGTTACCGTTGACTCGCGCTAGCCTAGCACCGGCGAACTATGCAACTGGAACGACTGGATGACATTTTTTGAAAACTGTCTCCACTGATAAATAACACCCAGGCTAACTTGGAAATGAGGCCCGATGTCCAAAATCCTGAACCACCCCTTTAAGATAAACAAAACATTAAGACATTCTGTGTGATTTTTTTGTACATAGAATCTTTCAATGCTAAGCTAATAATAACATTTGAGGTTTCATTTGTTAGCATTAATTAACAATGAGCATTATATTTTTACAGCATTTATTAACCTTTGTTAATGTTAGTTAATGAAAATTATTCATGATATTTCACAGTGCTTTATTAACTAATGTTACAGATACAACTTTTGATCCTAAAAAGTATTAGTGAATGTAAATAAGATGAACTAACAATGAAAAATACTTCTACAGGATTTATTCATTTGAATGTTAATGTTAACTAATGGTCAGTGTTATTTTTGCACCTGGTTTGCAGAGTTTGGAGCCGCTGTCTGAACGGGATTTAGAGGTCCATGTTGAGCTGTCTGAATCTGTGCTGCTCCAGGGTCGAGGGTCATTCCAGTGCGAGTCCAGCTCAAAACTGCTCTGCCTGCTGCCGGACAGCCGACCCGACCCGTCCCGGTTACCCCTGCACAACTCAAAATCACTCATAATCAGTTGTTGAAAGAAGTTTGAGTTATATTTTCTCAATTTAAGATTAAGTTAAAAGCATTAAAGAGGACCTATTAAGCCCTTGATTTGTTTTGGGGCTCTACTGGAATAGGTTGTTATGCTTAAATGTTCAAAAAACATTATTTTATACATATTCTCTATTGTTGCGGCTCCTCTCTTCCCAGTCTGTCAGTAACGCTCTGTTTAGTTCCTGTTTCTATGAAGCCCCTCCTTCTGAAAAGTACACTGTGCTCTGATTGGTCGGCTAGATCAGTGTGTTGTGATTGGTCAAGCGCTTCGAGCGTGTTTGGGAATGTCCCGCCCCTTACCATAACCGCCAGTTTCAACACACTACTAACTAACTCAACCAGGCCCCGCCCCTTTATTCTGCATATGAATTATTTAAATGAGGAATATTGTGACGTGTTCGTTCCCGGAAGAAAACTCAAGACTACACTGGAGGCGTTTCAGGGAGTTCAGAAACAGTGACACTGATATAGAGAAGAACTCCCGCTGGAGGGACTTTGTTTGTAACTTTGCACGAACAGCAACATTACACACTAAAGAAAGATGAACATGTAAACAAGCAGAATAGGTCCTCTTTAAAGGTGTTGAAAGTGATTTTTTGGAACACCACACATAAATTGTTTCAAACATAACTGAAATAACACCTGTGTGTTTTAGCCAATCAGAGAACAATCTTTCTTTCCTCGGACGAATCTTTAGAGGTCGGATTATGGAGAGAAATAATGTCTCACCTAAAGAGCTGGCGTCTTCTCTGGGTCTCAGTGAGGATGCTGCTGTCATCTAGACCTCTGATATAGAAAAATAAATAAAAGAAGAGAATAGTTGAAGTGCAGCCCATTTATTTATAATAATTATATTGATACAATTTTATATTTAAATTACATGGTTTACAAAATACTGATTACTTTGTTTTGAAGAGCAGTCATTTAATATTTAAATAATAATATTATATGTATTTAAATGCAACATTTCATACATATTCTTAATATTAACTATTAAGAGAGGTTTACCTGGTCTCAATATAAACACTCTGCGAAAGACCAGCGGGCTGAAAAATAAAAGAGCAAAAAATTAGAGGCCAAACTTTAATGTGCTATACCAAAGACTTTAGATATACAAACACAGTGCACTCATATTACTATGATTGGAAGAAAGTGTAACGCTCAATATGGTTCAATCACTACTAATCACTGATTGGTAAAGTCAATCGTGTCACTACAGCAACTGAGACGCACATGTGATCCAGCCTGAGAAAGGCAAATTTTTGTCATGATTTGAGTTTTTAGAAACAAAATGATTGTAGTCAGATTTCATTTGTGATTTCCAATATGAAATTTAATCGTAAGCTTGGTGAACTTGATGTTTCCCCATTCAAAGAGATAAGATCTGTACTTTCATGACTGATGCTGGCCAAGAGGCGTTTCAAAGGTGGGCGCCGAGGGAAATAACTTGCCTTAAAAGGATTTTGTACTACTATGTGTGCATGTTCAGTGTTTTCTTACGTCCTGTGAGAATATGCGTTCCCGGACTCTCTGGTACTCCTCCTCTCTCTCCTCTATTGACTTGCTTCTCATCTGATCTTTGAGAGATGAAACCCTCAGCTATAAAGAACAACAGCAGACGAGAGTTAACCAGAGCTATCAGAAGAGCCAATGATCGGCTCGTTTGTGATCAGTGATCAGTGAAGTGTGCGTTTGTCCAAACCTGACTGTCTTCTTTCTCCTGACTGGTGTCTCTCTTCAGTATTGATCTTCTTTCCTCTGTCTTCTCCTCCTGAACATGTTCAGCAAACCGATGTTCTGGTCTGAAAAACATTACGTTAGGCCCACATCCATTCCTTCATACATGCACATATATAACACAGACACGTACATCCTGGAATTGCAGGTTTTGTTGATGATAACCGCTTTTCCACTGTGATCCACATTGTGTTCCAGACCAAAATAAGCTGCGACCCTGTGGACAAGCATCCTGTGATACGAGGACATCTGAGGGAACTTTTTATAGGAACTACAGAGAGAGAGAGAGAGAGAGAGAGAGACATTATATCACATTACAAATGTGTCTATCTGTAGACCACGAAAGACATGCATGGAACGGTACCTGTTGTCTGTCATAAAGTCAGTCATGTCCTGCTCGAGCTTTAAGAGCATCAGTCGGTCCCTGCAAGCCAAAAATAAACAGATTCTGCACGAATGGAAGGAGGAGAATGAAGGGATATTTTCAATCTTTTACACACCTGGGACTGCTCTTCAAAGTCGTGATTAAAAACTCCTCCAGATCAATGCCGGTGGAGTCGGTATACTCCAGACTGGGCTCTAAAACACACACACACACACACACACACACACACACATGGAATAACATCATAGATATGCAAGGGATTGGAAGTATGTCTCAAAAATTAGGACTTTGAATCGATTGAACAAATTAATCAGCATTTTCTGCAATTAATTAATTGCAAATAACATTAAAATCTTTAGTAAGGAACATACAGTATAATTTAAAGGTTTGAGGGCAGTAAGTTTTTCTTTTAAAGAAATTAATTAACTTTTATTTAATGAGGATGCAATTAAACAGTAAAGTAAAGACATTTATAATGTTATACAACAGATTGCCATTTTCAAATAAATGCTGGTATTTTGAACTCTCCATTCATCAAAGAATCCTTAAAAATGTATCACGGCTTCCACAAAAATATTAAGACATTGATAATAATCAGAAATGTTTCTTGAGCAGCAAATCAGCATATTAAGATGATTTCTGAAGGATCATGTGACACTGAAGACTGGAGTAATGATGCAGAAAATTCAGCTTTGATCACAGGAATAAATTATATTTTAAAATATATTAAAACAGTTATTTTAAATTGTAATAATATTTCACAATTACGTTTTATTTTAATTGGTGAGCATAAAATACATCTTTCAAAAACAAACAAATCTTACCGACCCCAAACTTTTGAACGATATATACTCAAATTAATTTAGAATCAATAAAAAGTCAATTTTAAATAAAAAAAATCTGTTCACTCCGAAGTAAAAAAAAAAAAAAGAGATGCTGCATTAATCGTCTCAGTTATTTTTAACACTTAAACATCCCATGTTAATTGCAGAAATGAATACATTCTTTTTCACAGATCTAGATGAAATATGTTTGCATTTTACGTGCACATACTACATGAATGCATGATACACAAATACACACATGCTAGGTCAATTACCTTTGGATAAACTTGTTTTTTTAGATGTGATGCTCTTCTCCTCTTCCTCCTCCTCCTCGCACTCAGGACTGTCATCATGGTCACTAGATATAGCCGTCTTGCTCTCGTTTTCCTAAGACCAGACAGAACAAAGTTTCTTCACAAACTATATCATTCATTTCAAGGATGTAATGGATGGGGAGACCAAATGCAATATTCCATTAAAAACCCCTTATTGTTGGAACACTAACGAGAGCAGCGGTAACAGTCTTGATTCACTTACACATGTCCTATCCATCAGACTATCAAATTTAACTTTAATGGTGGATGTAAGATTGTAAAGTGTTTTTAGGTTATAGAGAGAAAAGAAAGACGATGATTAGAATGGTTCTTACCTTGCTGTTCTCCTTAGTGGATAAAGACTCCTCACATACAGCTGTGCTCCGAACTAATTTCCCTTTGGCCTGTAACACACACACATATTCATTCAATAACCCCATATCACAAAGGAAAATAAACATTTTTACTACAGAGGACTGTTCTCAGCGCACATTATTACTGCATTTGTTATTTCAACCATAATATATACTGAACACAAAAGGATATGGAGAGATTATTTCATATTGTCTTTTTATGGTTGTTGCCTTTTAAACTATTAACCTGAGTTTTCTTTAAAGCAGTTTCCCAGCTTACAGCGAACGTTCTCAAAGTCATGAGCAAACGTTCCCCCAGAAACATTAATAGAACGTTCATGTAAAGTTATTAAAACATTCACTGAAACTCTAGCACAAAAACTTTATTTTTAACATCGCTTACGGAGCGTTTTTTCCCTGAAACGTTTCAGTTGGACGTTCACCTAATATTTTTTAAATGTTTCTACTTGATTCAGAACGTTCAGAGGACATTCAAAAGTAACATGTTTGCAAAATGATCAAATGGAATGTTCCCTTAACAATCGCATAACCAAGAAAAAGAGTTTTAAAAACATTCTAAAAAAGAATTATGGTTTGAACGTTCAGAGAATATTCAGAATTAACATGTCCATAATGAGAATGTTATCAAAACAATCACTGTAAATTTATTTTTTTAATTTGCTGCCTTCATTTTTTAAAAGTAAAACCAACTTGGATGTTTAAGTCATTTCAACTTAAATGATATCAAACCTACTTAAAAAAATTGAAATTGAGTTAAAAATTTCAGCAAAAGTTAAAGCAATATAAAAACATATGTTGTCATAACTTACTGATCATGTAATTTTTTTACAGTGTTCTTAGAACATATTTTTCTTAGCTGGGTTATATATATATATATATATATATATATATATATATATATATATATATATATATATATATATATTTTACAATATGACTTGATGCCGAATATAAATGAAATCTTAAATGCAAAGTATATAAATAGCCAATTCCAGCTTTCATTCGCCCAATTTCCATATTCCTATAGGCGGAGATACGATTTCTGACTTTTATATTGTTATGTATAGATATTATTTTAAATACGTCACTATTTTCATTGAGCAAATGCAGCAGAAAGGCAGTGATGCTCTAGTAATTGTATTTCTACAGGGTGAAAAGTGTAACTACGCTATTTTTACACTATTTGAAGCTGCTGGCGGACTGACTGAAGCTGCGGATGTGATTTACTTGATGAAGCTGGGGAACTATAGGGAGTGAATGCAATGTTTAATGGTATTCTGACTGAGACACATAACCGCTGAGGTTAAACAGTCAGCAGCAAATGCCATTTACCCACTAAGGAGAATGATTCAAAAAGCAATATTCTGCCGAGTATAAAGCCATCAATCTCACATAAACGTCTGGGAAGCTCGAAAGGTAAATAAACTCATACATGAAACGAATGCTCTACAGGGAGGGTGTTTTAATAATTAGATTCAATTGCAATCCTACCTTCAGTTTCTTTTTAAGTTGTCCATCTGATTTTGGCTGCTTAAAGAAAAAAATATGATTAAAAGAAAAGAATAGGAGGAAATTAAACAAGGAAGACGCTATAAATGATCAAAGGTGTTGGATCTGGATTATCACCTGGCTGGATTTATGACCATCCTCAGTGTCTGCGGTACAACATGGAGGTGGAGTCTCCTCCATAGTGCATTCTGGGAGATTTTCAGATTCTCCTGTTTCGGACATCTTGAAGTTTGCAGATTCAAAGGTCATATCAGTTATTGGCCACCATATGCCCCATGACCGTCCAAGCCAATTAATAATGAGACAAGATGTCTTCTTTTCTCTCCTTTTTCCCTCGCTCCGCTCTTCTCTTCTCTTCTCTTGCCAGAACAGATGGCTAGATTCTTATTTAATAAAGAAGAGAAAAAAACATCTCAGAACAAAAATCCCTCTCAGATCTGTAATCATTTTTTTATTCTGAGCACTATGCCAGGTATATATATATTACATATAATACTCAGCTGAGAGTCAGAGTCGTATAAGCTCAAATAGGTGATACATTAAGCTTCCAACTAGTATCAATAGTAATGAAATATCTTTATTTTTCATTCAGGTCATAAACTGACTTGCCTGGGCTCAAGTTAAAATGAAATTAAACTAAACGCATAATTGTGCAGTCAGGACAGCAAAATAAATAGACTTTAAAAACGAAGAAAATGATTCCCATCATGTGTTTTGTTGTTGATGTCAAATGCTTCTTCCAATCACACAATATTTTGGTATAAATTCATATGTCATTTGGTAAAAAGCTATTAATTATACATGCCAACACAGACAGACTGTGTAACATCTTCAGAAATTATGATAAAAGACTACACCGGGTAAAAAGAAATATTCATTTTCAACCAGGATAAGCATGGTTTGTGCCAACCACAATGAGGCGTGTGGCAAATGAATAGCTGAAATGTTAAAATTCAAGAGAATAATAATTTTAAAAAGTGCTCAACCAATAAAAACCAAGTAAATTAAAAAGTCAGTTTTCCGGTTCTTTCTGTCATGTTAACAGTTTTAGGCCTATGCAGATCAAAGTATTCTTAATACATTTATAATTGATTTTAAGGATATTTTAGTTTATTTTTGCATGATAACGGATTCTGGCACTTATTGTTTAACGTAAAATCTTGAAGCAAAACCAGTTGAGAAGCTCTCCAGCAATGCTGATCTGGATAAAAATACCTATGCGTGTAAGAGGTCTGCATTGACTGTGCGTTTATTTTGTGCAGCTCTTTTCATAGCAGTGGCAGGTGCTGTAAATTATATTCCTAGAATGAAGACTCCCTGAATGGAAAGCACACACACACACACACACACACACACATACACAGTTTGAAAAAGACTGCATCCTTCACCCTAATGTCATCACTCTCATCATGTTTGAACGCGTCTTCATGTCTGACCACTGAGTCACTGACTCACTTTCACCAGTGTTAAGCCATACGCCTCCACACACACACACGTGGCGTCTCTATCACTTCATCAGGTGTTTTCTGGGTTAGCTAACAGGTGGCTTCAAACATGGATGTAAAATAATTGTATGACAGAGATGCCATCTTACATCTGATGAAACAGCAGCACATTGCTCAGGGTTTTTGGCCACTGACTAACCCTTACATAAATGTAGGCCTACATAGTTTCTGCAAAAACATCATAGAATAGATATACTAGTTAGCCTACTGAAGTAAATATGGTGTTCTATATTTATTTTATTATTATATTATGATGTTATCGTAATGTGGTGTATATACTAATACAAATTATCCAGGAATTTCATCTATATATATAAAAAAAATATTGTTCTGAGCGGTTTTCTTTCTTGTTTGCAGAGCGGGAAATACAAACCCCGGCCTGGATCTCGAACGGTGTAATTACAGAACGCTATGAGCAGAGCAGGAAAATCACTCCACTCCACTCATATACGAAGCTCCAGTCCGTCTTTCAGTCTGTTTTTTTTTTTGCTTGGCGACAATCAAACCGTGAGTGATGCTTTGGCTTTTTGTGGAATTCTTTTCTCCTTTGGTTCGGTGGAGAACAAAATATAAGAACTAATTTATGTCAGAAACGTAAGTTACTCGATATTAACTAGCCTACTAATTAAAAGTTACTCATTTTCAGAACTGTTGTGAGCAGCATTCACAATCAAACTGTAGTTGCTTAGGGATAGTTCACCCAAAAATTTGTCATCATTTACTCACTCCAAACATTATGAATTTCTTTCCCAAAAGATGAAAATTTGAAGAATGTCAGTAACCTAACAGTTGATGGGTCCCATTGGCTTCCATAATATGGGAAAAAAGTAAGTAAATGGTAGATTTTTCATTTTTGGGTGGACTATCCCTTTAAATGAACTGTCCTACTTTAAACAATGTACTAAACTTTGATTTTTTAATGACAGCAGTCGCTAATATTAAGCCAACTCAGTTTTAATCTAGTAACATTAAATTAAGTTAATATAGCACTTTGGCTGACGTTATGGTTATTTGGTTACCATATAATTCTTGTGAAGCTATAGTGCGTAAAAGCATGTGGAAAAGTTGTGCGCACCATCACATCCAAACAGACACGCGCTCTGCAGAGTAGAGCAAAGATCTGTGTTCAGACATCCAATCTGTCTGTCTGTCTGTCTGTCTGTCCGCATGGCACGAAGGTGTAGCAGCCGAGATGGGCTTCGGTTTCCACCACTACGTCGCATTCCTGGTTCAGTCTGACTGGCACGGGTTATATTTGGAGGGGCTGTTTGGATCTCAGACTGTCGCTGACGCACGGAGCGACGCAGGGAGCAGCTGTGCTTTCTAAAAACGACCCAGACCATTGCTCTGTTGTTTAACAACCCTGCACCCAACATCAGACTATATATCAACAGAACAATTCGTCATAAAAATAGCTCAAATAAATATATATATTCAAATATTATATGGTGAGGGTTTTTTGTCAGCAAAATAGTTTGAACTCAAGAAAACTAATGTTAGTATCAAAATGAACCAGACACAAGTGCCCTTACAGTGTGATATGATTGAGGTTATGATGACTAAATTTTGGTTACACAGAACTCTTGACAACAACACGCCACCGTTTAAAATCGCGCGCCTAAATGCTTCTAATGAAGCGCAAACGCATGAGAGACAGCAGACTTTGCTTACCTGTGTGTAAAGCGAGCCGAACAAACAGTTAAACTCGTCAGGATTGAGCGCTTGTGTCTCTGGTGAGCTTGTCGAACATCTTCTGTTTCTGACAGACTCACTCACGCCACGCGCGCTCAACACACTCAATTAAACACGCGCGCGCTCTCGTGAGCTCAGCCTCTTCCTGGCACTCACGCTGCGCGCTCACATACACCACACACACACACACACACACAGAGCCGGTAAAAAAAAAAAAAAAAAAAAAACTAGACATCCACACCAACATTAGTTAGATGTGAGGAAATAAGTTGTTTGGCAAATATATAAAAATAACTCGTCTGACACAACGGCAACTGATTCATATTGTCAGATTGCCTAAACCAAAAATGTCCCTTGTGATAATAGTTTTGGCCAATTATTAGTAGAACTGTAAAATCATAATAAATGGGTATCCTCCAGTCCACACAGAGTAAGAACCTTTTTATTTGTTATAGTTTAAGAAACATTTTTATTTATTAAATGTAGAAAATATATCCATGTTTCAGTATCTAATAACCTATATCCATTGTTTCAAGATAGCTTCTGCTGTTTAATATTCTCATCTACAGATAAAAGTGTGAATTTCTCACACAAAGAGAACCACCAAATACTGCAACGAGCACCTGTTAGATGAAAAGATTATGCGACACTCAGAATGACACACACACACACACACACACACACACACACACACACACACACACACACACACACACACACACACACACACACACGAGTGCATATACCGCAACTAGACTTCACAGCTGCACAGTGACTCTCTTTCTACCATATGGCTTTAACGTTTCAGAGAACTGGAGATACAGTTTTTAGAAAGTGTGTGAAACTGATAACACCTGATGCTGTCTGTCTTCTCCTTAATTAAATGAATAGCCTACATATTTATCAGTGTGCAGCTCTGGCAAAAACATGAACATTATGTTTCTTGAGGTGTGATAGTGTTTTACCTGTAATCTCAGCCCAGAGGTCCCTGTTCTATCGCTCTCAAACACACACACGCAGACACGCGCACGCACGCACACACACACAGACGCACGCGCACACATTCTCCTTCTCTGCCCTCAGTGGTTGTGTGTGACGGAGGGCAGAGCAGCTGCTATTGTGAAGTTGACAGGACGGAGTGAGATATACGGAAAGATGGAGAGCTTGAAAGAAACATCCATATTTTTGTAATTTGTTTTGTAGAAGAGCCCAATTTTGTTTCAACCTTTATCAGCCTTCCAGTATTCCGTCAGTTCATCGTCATTGCTGTACACGAGTCACGCCTGTACACTTCTACTACTTTACGTAAGCGAGGAATAATCCACGGATAGATAGCGGTGCATTAAGTGATTTTAATGCACGACGTGGAAGCAAAGAACCACCCAATGCGAATCATTTATTGCACAGCTAGCTGTGGATTTTTACTCTATAAATTTTTTTAAATAATAATTACTGGACCCCCTGTTGAAGACCCTCGATAAGAAGCAAGAATGCAAAAACAATGTTATAATTTATGTAAATACATTCATCAATCTGTCTGAATAATTCTGCAAACCTTATCCAGAAAAAAATATTCAGGCACTGTAAAACAGTCTGTTCCTTACATGAATATTCTGCTTTCTAGTATGAGCTATTGTATTACATAAACATAGATGTTTAAATAACTCCTGTCCTGACGTGCTCCTGCTGGGAAGGAAGGGTCATCATACACTTGTTCATAATGTCTACAGTATGAGTCAATCAATGCCGAGGCTCTTCAAAGCATTCCGTCTTACTTAACATGAAACACACACAGTCACAGACACACATGCAAATAACCCAGCTCTCGCCCTCTCAGCTTTCTCTAATGACACTTTCTCCTGCGTCATCAGCGATGGATTCATCTCGAAAGGCCAAAGGTCAAAAGATCTGGCAGTATGTCAACAATGCAGCTACTGTCAACTCTTCTAAACACACTGATATTTATATACCTATACACACACACCTGTCTCGCTCAATAAATCTCTCATCATCGCCATATAACATTTCTCTTACGGTAAACACTCGCAGGGATAATTCCACACCTGCTTTTTGTCAGCGCTTGATTG